CCGCCCCTATGAGTGCAAAATGCCGCCCCTAATTGTGATTGCCGACCCAGTGAAAATCCCTTAAAATACGCCCTGGGAGCAGTGGCACAAGAACCCGGGGCCCGGGGTCAGTGATCAGTCACAGATCAGTGATCAGTGATCAATGACCACACAAACAGTCTATCCCACTGTCGCCAACGACGTCTTCGTGCCCGATAACCCGATATCGAGGGAGGGACATCGGTCAATATTCACCCATGCAAGCGATTAGCGCCAATGGCCATCATCACAACCCCGTTGGAAATAAGTCCTAATGGGATTGGTGATGCAAATTACGAGCCCACGCTCGGGTATTCACGGATTACCGGTGGATATGCACCTCGAACCGGTATACGAGGAGGAAATCACAAGTACCTAGTCTCTGAGGTGTGGTATGAGGCTTAGCCTGGAAACGTCATCACCGCTGGAAACGACACGCCGGTACTTGGACGACCTTGTGCAGTGGTGACTGATAGCGTTATATGTCCTAACGGATCTAACTTAACCCCACCATAACGCCGGAATACGAACACACTCAAAACTTTTTTACTATCTCCTGGAGGGTTCATTTTCATCAAACCAGCAAGATAAGAGTATATTGAAAGGGTAACTCTTTGCTACCATTATGTGCATAGTAACGGTACGTGGTCAATATGAACTTATTCGCCAGCAAAGAGTATTATTACCATGTAAATATCAATATTACTCTTGCGATCCAGAACATCACGAAAACTCTTTCCTTCTGGGTATCGTGACTCGTGTACAGATAGTCGTTTCATGCGTGGATCTTGTTTACCCTCGTGAAGATGATATTTGAAATGGAATCACTCAGCCAATCAGAAACGAGATCGGCCGTTTGCGGTTTGAAGGCCGCGCGCATCTGTCAGTTTTCGGCCGTTGGTCTCCGAGAGAGGATGTGAGCAGTGTCGGTGCCGCGCGGCGTGGCCGTTGGTGATTGTGCTTGTGTGTTGTTCATCGCCTATAGAGCCTCTGTGGACATTTTATTGTAAGTACCAATGTGCTAGAGCATTGCATGCCGTTGAGTGGTGCTAATTTGACCTTGTTAACAGGACCCCGTGCACGGCCACGTGGCCTAGGTTGTGAGTACGTACATTAATTTTGTTGTGATGCTACAGGTTTATGCATTTTGTTGGTGACATTGAAAAAGCCTTGCACTGTAGTGATCCATGGTCTCATTATCTCATGCAGACGGGCGACCACCCAGGAACGCCGTCGCTCTCTTCAAATATTGTGCGCTGTGCCTTATCCAATATGAGGGCGCTGAATGTCTTGTATTCACATTCAAAGTGCATTCAAGTTGTATCGTGGTGTTTATTTACCGCTTGTGCATTGCTGAACGCTTCGTATAAATTCGTATGTATAAGTGAAGAGTCTCACAATGTTCATGGCTGGTGTGCCCCTCGTATTGTTTGTACGGAAGCCAAATATACATTGTTGCTCTTGAAGCATGTTTTTTTAGTTGGTGAGCTCCGGTTAACAGAAGCTTCGTGAAGCTTCTGAAGCAAGCGTCTGTGAGTCTGTTACCATCCTCTGGGGGGTTTACACTAAAGGAAAGAGTAAACATTACCATGTGACAAAGGGTAGGCCAGAAGAATATACTCTCTGTAGGAGGGTAAAGCACAGAGTAGATGATGCGATACTCCCTAGAAAAGGGTTCCGTTTAAGATTTACCCTTTCAAAGAGTGTAACCCAAAAAATGTTACACTCTAGACAAGAGTAAATCAAAAGAGTTTACCATTCAGAAGATGGTAAAAAACGTCTGTGTGTCATGATACCCCTCCCTGGCGAGTTTACTCTTCATGAAAGAGTAAAATTTACCATCTGGAAGGTGGTAAAAAACGTCTGTGTGTCAAGCTACCATGCTATGGCGGGTTTACCCTTCAGGAAATGGTAAAAAAGTTTTCAGTGCACTTACCGATTAAGTAGCGATTACAAAGAAACGCCATAACATAAAACCAGTAAAACGCCTTTTAGGCGAAGAACGAGCGAGCGAGATAGTGAGCCCTGCACGTGCGGAAGGGTGAGAGGGTGCTTCCAACCCTTCTAAACGGTCGCTAGCGGTGTGCCAAATTTGAACGCAATCGGCCCAGCCGTTCCTGAGATCTGGAAGCGGCATTCTGCACGTGCGCACGTGCAAACGGGGTCCAAAATGACTTTTGCACGGCACCCTACTAACTGGTCCCCAACCGTGTACCAAATTTGAGCGCAATCGGCCCAGCCGTTCTCGAGATCTGGAAACGCCCCCTGCACGTGCGCACGTGCAGCAGCACCCTAACCGCAACACATGGGAATGCATTGCCTGGTGGGTGCCTACCTGCATGTGCCAAGTTTCAGCGAAATCGCCCCAGTAATTACCGAGTTACTGAAATGGGAACAAATTTGGCACCTCTTATTGTTGTATTTTGCACGTGCACTGGGGGTGACCCACATGCATCGAGAGTATCCTATTTTGGGTAGAAGGGATGCTGCTACCCTACAAAAATTACCGCAAGTCAATCGCCCAAGCGGCTGCTGAGATATGAGCCTCTCAAAATCACTACTTTTGCAAAACAGCTTGAACACCCTTGACTTTTCACGTGGCACGTGCCACGACGGTCACTGAGATGTATCAAAAGTAGTCAATTACGGGGTAGAAGGGATGGGGCTACCCAACAAAAAAGACCTCAGGCCAATCGGTCCAGCGGTTGCTGAGATATAAGCCTCTCAAAAGCGTTACAGGCCGGGCCGGGCCGGGCCGGGCCGCTCATACTGAGATTTTTCCGTTATATTGAAAAGACTCACTTCGCTCGCTGCGCTCGCTCGCTCGTAATAATTGCATGGAAACATTTTGACCTGTCAGTGCATACAGTGCATGTGGCTATAATTGGGCATGGCTACAGGTTATCATAATACCATTGACCTTCACGAAGCAAAATGAGCCACGCCTAATAGGTATGCATGGGTTCGAGCGATAACAAATTCAATTAAAAATATTTTGACAGAGTTTGGATACCTAATTAATATGTACAGCATAACATAACAGGATAATGCTTAGCACTGCAGCCTGCAGAGGGTGCTTGTATAGAATAAGGGCTGATTGAATTGCTCATTTCATCGCAATATGGAATCAGCCATCGAATCTTCTTCGCGGTTTCGCTGGATGCCCTGATATGCAGTGGTGCATTTAATTCATGTTAGATCAAACGGCCTCTTGCTCTTCAGCCTTTGATCAAAGCTGATCTTCAGCCAGGCTAGCTTTGGGATGGTAAGTACCTACAACGCTTCTCAGAGCGTAGGCAGATAGCGGGTAGGCACTATGGCAGGCACGATTTCACTACGATAGGATAGGACACACTTAGATTTAGAAAAGAATCCAACAATTGTATGCAAAAAGCATTGTAGCATTCTAAATTGGCGATGAACATGATTGAAAAGATTTCATAACGGAAACATTCTTAACCCTATTCCTGGCGGGCTCCGCCGGGACAAGAAACTGGCGGGGGGGGCCGATTCGGCCCCCCCCCCCCCTGAGATCTCGAGAACGAAGCAAGATAGCGACAAACGGTAAACGGCATCGGATACGCACGGTCAAGATCTACAATTTTTACAAAGGTCATTTTCAGGTCAGGTCAAAGATGACGTCACAGGGGTCGAAAAAGTCAAAATGGCGGCGCTAGATATGGAGAGAGTTTTTCTCGAATAACTTTCGAATTAGTCAAGATAGGAACAAACTAAGGGCATCATCGTGATCCTCTCGTCAATCCGCATCGAATGATATATATGTTGACCTCGCAAGGTCAAGGTCAAAGGTTGACCTCAGGTCACGTGACCTCGAGGTCATCATGTATATCATTCGATGCGTCTTGACGAGCTGAACACAATGAGACCATCCACGCGTCTGTATCTTGTTCCTGTACGGAGTTATTGGCCAAAAACCTTTGGTGACCTTTGATAACGTCACATGACCTCACAGCTGCCCAACAGCAAAACAGACCTCAAGGTAGTGAAGGTTGATCGTATATGAAGTCATGTATGGTATATGGGGCCATTCCGACCCGTTTTAGTGGTAAAAACAGGGAGTTGATTTTTCCCCCATTGACTTATAATGGGGAGGTCGCGAAACTGACCTGACCTTAGGTCACCGATATCAAAATTCCGAGATATACAAATTGCACATACTGGTACCCTAACTAAAGCCTGAAGAGAAGAAATTGATCGGTCAAAAACTCTAATTCTGGCGTGATTGCAAACTTTTCTGAGGTAGGGTCACCAAACCGCCTCTGGTGACCTGACCTGAGGTCAGATCAACTCAAAATTTTCAGACATGTTGCGTAGAAGCCTTTTAGGAAAAGCCAGAAAATTTGAGCTTCCTAGCTCAACGCGTTTGGGAGAAATAACCAAAAAACCTCAGGGGGGGGCTCCTGAGGCCCCCCCCCGCCAGGAATAGGGTTAAGAGCCATGAAACCTTTGTCCTCCTTGGTTACGTAACTGAAGCGTTATGTTACGCTCCCCACAGACCACCGGGGGACACAATTATATGGCTTCACGGGTTCGTGCCTTGTCGCGGTGTCCTCTGCACCCCATCGCAGTTCCGTCTCCTTTATGTAAAGGGACTGCGCGTCGGATCGATGGCGGCTTGGTCTCCAGTCCGCGGCCATTTCTACACATACCGACGCGACGGCGACGGTAACGTGACGCGCGCGCCTCCCTCCCTCCCTCCTTCCGCCGGGCGGGCAGCGCCGTGCGAGGCGCGGGAGCAGCGGCGCCCAGCGCGGAGGGAGAGGAAAAGACTGCAAGGAAGTGAATGGACGTGACAGGAAGGTGATTGATTGAGCCGGGTTCGGAAATCGACCACGTGCTGCCTGTGGAGGAGACAGGAAGCCTGAAGAAAGTGGCTACTGCTGTTTGAGAGGCTGCAGAAGGACCTTTGGTCGCCGACCAGCTGACAGCGGTGCACCCAGCCGTTCCCGACGGCTACTCACCAGTCTGACCCTTCCCAAGCGTCTTCTCCAGCCGGTACGGGCCCACATACTGGAAGAACTCGGACGCGTGTCCGTCCCGACTGCGGATCCTCTCTGCACGCAGCTCCGTCATGGTCCGGCTTCTCGGAGACGTGGCGCCGTGCGGACCGCTTCCCACCACACTCGACACCGCCTCACCGCCCCTCAGAGACGACCGGTCACTGCGCCACCCTTAGCACCGCTTCACACTGCTGTCACTGGTCACCGAGCCACCGCCGGCCGCCGGTCCACACCCAGTCACCACTGACAGCCGCCGTCGGCCCGTCCAGTCGCCGCACGCCGCGCCGTCAGGCGACACATCGATTCGACGGACGGGCACCTGGCCGGCGGGCGCTTCACCAACTCCTGGTTCGATGCCGACTCGGGCCGCGCCGGAGCGTCGCGATCGATGGAGGCCAGCGCAGGCGCGACGACGGCGACGACGGCGGCTGACCGGCGCCGCACGGTCAGCCGACGGCCCCGCCCGACACGGCCAGAGCCGCAGGCGGATCTGCGGGGAGGCGCCACTGACATATGGACCCGCAGACAGCCCGCAGACGGATCTGCGTGGACGGTTCACCGACCCGCAGGGCAGTCTGCTGACGACCTTCAAGGACACATCCAGTATCTACTTACATAAGGACCTACAGGAAAGCTTAAAAGCAACGGATCTACGAGGAGAAATCTAACGGGCGCAGCCAAGCCCGCAGACGAAGACAGCCCAGCCTCCAGATGGGCCTTCAGGGATGGATCCAGTTGCTAACGGACCAGCAGGGCAGCCTACGAACGGGTGCCGCATACGGATAGTCCTGCTCAAAAGAGACATACTCGCTCGAAGATTCGCAGGGCACTCAGGTAGCCTTCAGCTGACTTTAGACTAACGGATCTTCAGAAACAGTCCAATCCGACAGAGACGCTCTGACATCCAGGGAAAAGCCCTCATCAACCCACACAGCCCTACAGAGACGGGACCTTCCGACTCAACGCAGACTTATTGGAATGGGTAGGTATATAAAATATGAAGATGCATGGATTCATCGAGGAAACACAATAAGTGCAATTTGAGAGAGGAGATAGCGAGAGAGAGATAGAGGGGGAGAGGGAGAAAAACTGCATGTCGACATCGCTACGTAAAATATGGTCAGATTTGATTTCAGTTCTATGTTTTCGCTACCAGAGGACACAACTTACGTACAAAAGATACGTAGGTACATATACACACCTACTTACGTGTTTGAATTTTGTACATACCTAATAGTTGCCAGTTGACGTTTAAACAAGGGCGCACACAAGGGGGGGCACACGGGCCCGTGCCCCCCCCCCCATTCGAGTTGGGGGGCCCAACTCGAAGGAAGGGGCCCATTTGAGGCGGCCGAAGGCCGCCTAAAATGGGCCTCTAACTAATCCTCAGACCACCGAAGACCGTGTACAACGGGCCCTCAAATGGCCTTAAAGGGCCCTCAGATGGTCTCAAAAGGCCCTCAGATGGCCTCGAAGGGCCCTCAGTTAGCGTCATAGGGGCCTCATCTGGTGTCAAACGGCCCTTAGATGGTGTCAAAAGGCCCTCAGATGGCCTTAAGGAGCGCTCAGATGACCTCAAAGGACTCTCAGATGGCCTTAACGCGAGTTGCTGGGGGGGGGTGGCGTTAAACGCCCCCACTTTTTTCGCTGGGCCATAGCATAAAAACGGCGCGCTGCAGGCGCGCCAAATTTTTAATACCTGTAGGGAATTGATTGAAGTTTATTGTGACAAAGCTTCAAAAAAATCGGTCGGAAAATTTTTGAGATATCGAGGTTTTAGTGACGTCATGAATTTTGAGTTTTTGACCAAAAACGGCATATGTTCAAAAAATCATATAAAATCACAGAATAGACATACAGACATGCCGTAAACGCCATTAGACTGCCAATACCATGAACAATCAAATGGCTATCTTCGATTATTGATTATCGTTCCGCATTTTCCAAAATCTCGAACTGAGTCTCGGCAATTTCTCGTGACTACTTCACGACCATGATACATGCATTTCTTAAATTCAACTTTTTTAGCCAAACACGTACACATATGATAAAATGAATGTCACCATCGTGTTCTACGCCCCAAATTACCCATAAAACATGTGTCACAGGCTGCGAATATCAGTTTTGATTTTCGGGGATATGTGCCTACCCGGTTGACCTGACATTGACCCTGACCTATGCTTGACTGACCCGTACATGGAGCTGACACTCTCGTAGGCCTTATATGATGGATTGTGCACCGTTTTGACAGAGTTTATGACGAGAGGCGCCCATTGCGAAGTCCTGAAGTCCATGCTACTGAAAGCCCGATTTCAGGTGTTTGACCTGACCTTGACCCGACCTGTGACATCAAAATTCAACTTTAAAGCACTCATCTGAAGCGTCTCGTCGCGTTCTTTCGTTTGCCGCCTCGTGCGTTTCGCTGCGCCTATTGGTTCTCGAGTTATCGGCTGGGGGCGTTTAACGCCCCCCCCCCCCCAGCAAACGGTGGGTGGCGAAATACCCCAGCAACTGCCGGGTTAGAGGGCCCTCAGATAGCCTCAAAGGGCCCTCAGCTAACGTCAAACGGACGTCAGAAGGCCTTCAAGGGTGTCAAAGGTCCCTGAGCTGGCGTCAGAGGGCCATGCCCTTGCGTCAAATGGCTCTCCGAAGGCTCTAAAGGGTCCTTAGCTGGTGACAGAGGGCCCCCAGCTGGTGCCAGATGGCCCCCAGCTGGCGCCAAATGGCCATCAGAAGGCTTCAAACGGTCCTCAGTTGGCGTCAAGCGGCCCTCAAAAAGCCTCAAGGGGCCCTTAGAAGACCTCAAGGGGCCCTCAGAAGGCCTTAAAGAGCGTCAAAGGGCCTTGAGCTAGCGTCAGAGGACCCCCCCCCCCAGCTAATGTCAGAGGGCCCTGAGCTAGCGTCAAACTTAAAGTGCCCTTAGCTGGTGTCAGAGGGCCCCAGTTGGTGTCATAGGGTCATCCATTGGCGTCTAATGGCCATCAGAAGGCCCAAAAAACGATCCTCAGCTGGCGTCCAACGGTCCTCAGCTGACGTCAAGAGACCCTCAAAAGGCCTCAAAGGCCCCTCGACTGCTCAAAGAGCCCTTAGAAGGCCTCAATGGGAGCTCAAGAGACGTTAAACGGCCCTCAAAAGGCTTGAAAGGGCCCTCTGCTGATGGCAAAGGGCTCGCACCTGAGTCAATAAGAGCCTTGTCAAAAAACGGACCTGAGAAACCTTGCCGGCCCTGGTTATCTGCGGGACTCCTACACTTACCTGAGTGGCCCCCGTTTACTGAGGGGCCCTGGTTATTGATGGGGTCCCTGTTTACTCTAGGGGGTACCAGAGGGGCCCATGGTCACCTGGTGGGCCCCTGGATCAATTGAAAACCCATGATCATCTGAAACGCCCCTGATTACCTAAAGGGTCCCATCACTTGGATTCAGTGACATAGCAAGGGAGCGAGGGGGTACGTGCCCGTTCTCGGGTTTAGGGTTCCTTCGAAACCGAGGGGCCCTGCGGCGCCAGTTGGTAGCAGAGGGTTCGCGCTGGCCGCACTTCAACTTGGAAGGACACCACAGGGCTTGTGGGGGGGACGTTATTGGCTCCTATGTAGCCACAATTATCTTCATAAAGGCCCAATGCCGGTTTCTGAGAGACCTCGCCGGCCGCTCAGGGCCCTAAGTAGTAACGGCCGTCGGCCAACGAGGGATTGGCTGCTATTGCTCCACATCCGTCTGTGATAGACACACGGTCCGCACCAGTGTTTTAAAGGCACCCACAACGGCAACTGCGAGGCCCCTCGCCCCACCTCCAAGGGACCCCCACCAGCGCATCTTAAGGGCCTACATCGGCGGCTCTGAGAGTCCCCACTCCCCACACCGACGCCTCTGAGGGCCACGTACCAGTGACTCTGAGGGCCTCTTACCAGCCTCCGAGTGTCCTTGCCAGCCTATGACGGACCACTTTCCACTTGCAGGCCATTTTGCAGGGCCACACACATGCCAATGATGGCCCCACCAGTGTCTCTAAGCCCTAAGACCCCGCAACGGCGCCTGTGAGGACCCAACACCAGCGCATCTGACGGCCTTTCACTGGCACCTCTGAACGCGCCACACACCGGTGACTCTGAGGAGCTCGCTCGCTTCGCTCGCTCGTAAAATACCATGTAAATTAGGCATTAGTGTACATTAGGCACACTCCTCGGGCATAAATGATACTTTCGCTTGACAATTTTCCACATTTTCTCATGCAAAGACCGTTTTAAAGAGACCCGTCTGCCAGTGAGACTGGACCCACCGTGCCTCCCTCCTCCCATCGAAAGGTCCTCGGTACCTATATCCTTGCCTGAGCTGACCCCGGGCGCCCGGGTGACTCGCGGGCCCGAGGTCAGGTGACCAGCAGGTAACCCCCTCTTGGGCGAAATTCTGGGTACGTGTCCGACATGCATCGTACATAGTCCTGTTGATTTGATTCAATGGTTAAACATTAAATATAAGTTATAAGCTGGATCTCTAGTCTGTGACCCCGCATCGTATCAGATATAGTGACATTTCATGTCGATGTGCCTAAAAAATATGCGAATATACGTGAAAAAGGAGTGCTGCTCCTGCTCCTACACATCCGGGCCAAACAGTGACCGGCCCCTGCTTCTAGCCACCCGGGGCCGGTCGGCCGGCCGGCAGTCAGTCGCTGCCCGGGGCTGATTTCTGAGGGACCTGCAAAAATGTTTATTAATGAAATGTTTTACGTAATAAATTAGATGATTAGGTATATGTACCGGCTCTGAGTCGCATTTGAGAAAAAAAACCTAGCGTAAAATATATATGATTTGAAAATTAAGCTGGTACCGAAATAATTGTTTTACCATGCATTGACAAACCAATTGCTCAAGCTTCAAACCAGCCGAAATATAGCCCCGTGGGCCGTATTTTTTTGGGGGGGCCCTTCGGCATGGGGGGCCCAGTTCGAAGGTCGTGCCCCCCATTCAAAAATCCTGTGTGCGCGCCTGCGTTTAAAGTTATTAATATCAGGCAGGGAGATAAGGTAACACAATTAACTACCTACATATTCATCGTTATTTTCGTCCTTACCTTTTTTATTATAAAATTATCGCCGTCCATAAAGGGTACTGAGCAAAATGAAATATTACGGTAACTTTTGACGAAGTCCCGTTGGACGATGAATCGAATGAGTGAAATAAAAAAGCAAAGATGCGAAACCAATGAATGAATGAATTAATGGTCGGCTGATTAATTAGATACAGTAGTTTCGTGTAGCTTTGACCACCAAGGGCAACTTTGGCCCACACCCGGAAAAATAATTTGTTTTGCTGTAGCTGTATTTACCTAGTAGTGCACTTAGGCCTAGTGCAGAAAAGCTGTTGTTATGGTTTGGTAAGACTGTTCATCGGTTACCTTTGGGACCAATCCTGAGTTGGTCCTAAGGCCAAGTTGAACGGCTAGGAGGGGTTTTATTGAATTTGGGCCAAAGTTGCACGAAGATATGGTACCTTTCAAGAGGAAATCCATTAATTTTACGTGAATGTTTTTAACATGTTAAAGATACATAAGCTGTTAAGTGTTAAACGTCGAAGAAACGTAAAATATGAGTAGGCATTAGCAACTATAAGTATGTATAGTGAACAGTCCATTGATGTCCAAGAGACTCGGCAAACGTCTGCATGCGAGATAACCGAGCTCGGCGCGTCCAAGGCCCTCTGACGATACAGCATCCGGCTTCCAACGTGCTCGCCGCGGTGGGCAGCCGAGTACGATCGACCGTCCACTCCACTCCGTCCGTCGGTAGGAGGGGGGGGGGGGGGGGCACGCGCCGTCCCCTAATGACTGGCCAATCACAGCTTAGTGCGGCACCTGTCAGCAGCAGCCCCGCCGGCTCGTCGGTCGGTCGGTTGGTGGGTTGGTCTCTCAGGCTGCTTACTGGGTCGGACGGGGCTCGACCGAGCCTCAGCCCATTGCCTGGGGACCCTGTGGGCTGCTCTCTTCCCGGGCTCCCTGGGGAGGCGTTATCGTAGTGGGAAGCGAGGAGCGACCCCCGCAGAGTCTCTGGTGACGGCCGCTGTCGTCTTGCCAACGTCTTTCCAGGCGACGTGGGGTAGGGGTGGGAGCGGGACACCGATTGCCAGGGCGCCGCCGGATGGATACTCGTTTGAGAGATGGAAGGAGGATGATACGCCAAATTCTAAGGTCCAGAAAATATAGAAGATAGTTTCCCGAAGATCGAATGTTCCACCGAATGGTAATGGTTAACCTGCCAAATGGTCGACATGATAACATTTAATGACCCAGCGGCCGGCCACCATCATTCCGATCGGTACGGACTTCGAGTACGGACGACCCGACGGGACGGCAATGTCCGAACCAACCGACCGGACGGCGCCACTCGACCTCAACCGGTCGGCGTCCTACACGAGCCCGCTACCGGTAGTTAATTAACGTGGGGAACGCTTCACTGGTACCCATGGCATTGGCATAGGGGTCAAATTGGACACTACGGATGATGGTTTCATAGCATGCAATTGCAGGAAGACCATCATCTGTCTGTACTTGCAATTCAACCAACCTTGTATCGCCGAGACAACAGTCCAACACACCATATTTGTCATTTGTTTTATTTATTAAAATCGTTATAAATCCATGCACGAAAACGGGCTATTCGGAATTATGCGTGCGATAATGTCTTCATGTTGAAATAGATGAGTCATCTAGCAAGAAAAAGTCGATCTATGCCATCTAAGTGAATAAAGTGAGAGTTGTCCGAAGATCGGTACTCCGATTCCTAAAGCAGAGTCTCATCCTGCACGGTACCAGTAACGGTCGCTCAGGACTCGAATAGAGTATCAGAGTAGAAGAAAGAATATCAGAGTGAATATCACAGCGGATTGGCCAACAACAGATAAAAGATAGTGCATCGCACAACAGTACTGCGACATTGGGAAGGCACTTGTAGCGGCGCTGGCGTTCCAGCATTGAACACTGTAAGGCACGTCCATCTGACAATAATAGTGAGCGACCTCCAACAGCCAACAGAGCCTCGGCTGTCCAATTACAGCTCAGACGGATAAAACACTGTCTGGGCCGCCGCCGGCGCCCTGACGCCGCACCGGCCGACAACTCTGAGATACACGGATACGGTATATACTGTATAAAACACCTCCAATGGTTCCGCCATGCTATCGTAGCGGCGACCGAGCACACGCACATAACCAGTATTCACAAACGCTTGATCGACACAACCTCCATAATAACTATTGACACGGACATCGGAGCGAGAACAAACAACTGACCCTCCTGCAAAATGCGCACGTCACAACCATAAAAGTCCTCCAAAAGGCGGCACGTCAACTCGCGTCAGTTCCAATCGGTATCAAGCATCCCCGTTCGACCGACCGTCCGTCCGTCCGTCCTGTCCCGTGTAAAACCGCCCGGCGGCGGCTCGGCCGGACCCCGTGCCAGGCCGGCCGCCACCGCTGAAAGACAGGTCGGAGTCGGCGCCGCGCCGCTCGTCCCCACACACTTCCGTCACAAACCCGACAGTAGGAATCTGAGTATTTCCAGCTCTCTCCCCGTGCGCGCTCGAGGTAATGTCGTTGGTCTCGGCTGGTACGGCCCTCCGCGGCCGGTGCGCCGCGCCGCCCTCTCAGAGGACAGCCAGCAGGACACGCCGGCCGGGCGACTCGGTGTCCGAGCGCCACGAGCCGTCCTCGGAGGGCGAAGAGCTGCCGACTGGGCGCGGCCGGCGCGCCTCGGGCGGCGACAGCGGCGCCTAGTCGGCCACCACGCTCTGGTAGATGGTGAGCAGCACCTCGCGGATCTGCCAGAACGCCGGCCGCTCCTCGGCCTTGTACTGCCAGCACGACCGCATCTCCTGATGGACGCAGAAGGGGAGCGTTATGGTCAGCAAGAGAACATCACAATTCACAATAGCTCCAATTGGGTGACAGTTTCGAATTCGATTACGGCAATTGGGAGCACCGACCTTCTCCCACCCCATTGACACACCAAACAGACACCAGGCGGTGATCCTAGCCCAGTGGACTATCCCAGAACGAGCAGCCAGAACGGTCGAGGGACGGACGCCTCCTCTCCGTAGCGTCCGCCACGACTGCCGTGACCTTCTCATCCCTCCTCTGGCCGTCCTCAGCCGTGACCCATGACCTTCTCAGCCGGGTCCGGGAGGTCTGATCGGCGGTCCGTCTGGCCCGACTCTGACCGTACTCCGCCGCAGCTCGGGGATGTGGCTGTGCCCGCCGCGGATCTCCCGACCGGTCACGGTGTTCCAGAGACACCGGATCGCCGCTCTGAGATCTCGGGACCGACCGGCAGTCCCAGCCCATATAGTACACCATAAATTGTCCCCGGCAAAGAAACGCACTCGAAACCAGTCCCGGTGGACATAAATTCCACCGAAACTCATACTTTTAGCCGGTGTGGCGGACCAGTGCGTTATTTGAGTGTGATCCATACGGGGATTAATACAGGGCTGTAAATCAGCCGGTGCGGAGCGGAGGCCCGGCTGGTGGACAGCCCGCGAGGCCGGCCGATGGGCCATCTCTGTATTGGTCGTAACTCAGCCGGCCGATGCTGTGTTCCATGTAAAACAGGATCGCAGTGTTAGCCCGCTCCCAATATGGCGGTCAGGGTGCTGAGACGTGTTCCCTATCATCCCAACAGTGACGGAGACTGATGAGGATTGCTTATGAACCTTGTCCGTTCTGGTCGTCATTCTCCATCACATTAAAACCTTTGTTAGCTTAGGTAGGTGTACCATAAGTAAAGTGAAATATAACAATGAATGAGCTGCTTCCAAAATACCACATAAATGCACGGCGTTCGCATTGGCCTATTTAAAATTAAAATCGATTGAGCACCAAAGTAAATGGATGACTTTTGCATTTAGAAACGGCACTGGCCGTGGAAACAATTCTCACTGAATACGACTGAAGGCAGTGGTTACTCACGGACTCCACATCGCGTGACACTCGGGTTCGAGGACGCCATGGAACATTCAGAACCCTCTTCCGACGGCGGGTGTGACGCTGTCAAATATTCACCGGTCGGGCGGCCGTTCCAAAGCGCGGTATACTGTCCGTCCCACAGCGCATGACGTGGGATAGTTCCTCGGCCGTGGCGTACCAGAGTTACCATCACAGGGCATCGCAACCGGCGTACCCTAGTCGGAGTGGCACTCCAAAGTACTACGCGAGTGGTGTACCCGTATACCCGCTGGGGTGGTTTACTACAGCACCACAGCGATTGGTCTACCAGATTACCACATCGCATGGCACACCAGCGTACCCCAGCGGGTCGCCTGCCGCCGGACACCACATGTCGAGTCCGTCAGCTGTCTGATCATCTCACTCAGACGGACCCTACCACCCCGACACCGTTATCTGTCGGCGCTGCGGCACATCTTTGCCGCAGTTTCGTCCCTGGAGACAGACCAGATGAGCGTCCCAGCCACTCCACCGCAGTCTGCAGGGCTGCAGTGGACGAGGGCTACTCTCTACAGGGTTACTCTTACGGTGATCTGTTCTCCGGGGTGTGGTGACTGGTGGGACGATTCGGGGGACGTATGACGACTAGTAAAGGTGCTATTTTTGGCTGTCACTCCTTTGCCCATTTTATTACTGCCCGACCATATTGTAACCTCCAACTATACACAAATAGTTACGGCGCCCAGCAAATCTCTATGGAGAAGCGTCTGCGTTCGGTAATGTTGATCAATACCATCAGTAGCATTGAGCTAGCAGTTGTGGTAGTGTCATCACTACAAATACCATCACTTCATCACTGATGAGTCGAGCAGCGGACAGCATTAGGCAGTATTCGCAGCACTCACCTCATACACGTCTTTAGCGCAGTACTTTGGCCGTTCGAGCACGTGACCCCGCTGTACCCGCTCCACCACTTCTGCGTTCTTCATTCGGCTGTAGGGCATCTTCCCGCAGGTGAAGACTTCCCACATCAGAACACCTGCGCAGAGGGAGAGATAGAGCGTCAGACTACTGGTACTTACCGGACAGGGGAGAGGGATAGACGCGCATCAGGCTGCTTAAGAATTGGGGTAAAGGAACGAAGGTCGTGTCAGGTTACCGGTAATACATACTAGAGAGAGTTACAGGGGCGTATTATGCCGGTGGTACTCCATTACAGGGGAGACGGACCGAAAGGGGAAGTAAGATGATACCATATATTCAGCCAGAGCTGTAACATGGCAAATAATACGGCACCAGTCCCACCGCAGTTACATTAGAGGCAAAACAGTTTGCAATAACGTACTAAGAGCGCATCCCACATAAGCAGCAAATTTGACATATCGCAGTTCGACGATGAGGTGCTAACGACGCTCGATAAGTCAGATCATGTCCGTTTGATCGTTTGGCAGGGCTGACTGTGCCGTGCGCCACTAAAACCGCACCTGACGAGCCGTGTTCGGACGACAAGCCACCCCGCTACCGACAAAAACCAGGCTTCTGCAGCGGGGGTGAGGCTCAGTGACTCCTCGCCGCCGCCTATTCTGGGAGCCCATTGCCGCCGGGCTGCCGCAGCTGACGGGAGCTGCGGCAGCCATTACGGACTGAGCTGCGCCAGCTCTCAGCTCTCCGGTGCCCCGGCCGCCGCCACTCGGCCGCGCGCAAAAACGTCAGGCGCCGCCGCCACCGGGGACACCAGCCGTCCATTCAGCGTCCGAGCAGCCTCCTCTGAGCCGTCAGAACGTGTCCGGGAGAGAGAGAGAGAGAGAGAGAGAGAGAGAGAGAGAGAGAGAGAGAGAGAGAGAGAGAGAGAGAGAGAGAGAGATAGAGAGAGATAGAGAGAGATAGAGAGAGATAGAGAGAGATAGAGAGAGAGATAGAGAGAGAGATAGAGAGAGAGATAGAGATAGAGATAGAGATAGAGAGAGAGAGATAGAGATAGAGAGAGAGAGAGATAGAGATAGAGATAGAGATAGATAGAGATAGAGATAGAGAGATAGAGATAGAGATAGAGATAGAGAGAGAGAGAGAGAGAGAGAGAGAGAGAGAGAGAGAGAGAGAGAGAGAGAGAGAGAGAGAGAGAGAGAGATAGAGATAGAGATAGAGATAGAGATAGAGATAGAGATAGAGATAGAGATAGAGATAGAGATAGAGATAGAGATAGAGATAGAGATAGAGATAGAGATAGAGATAGAGATAGAGATAGAGATAGAGATAGAGATAGAGATAGAGATAGAGATAGAGATAGAGATAGAGATAGAGATAGAGATAGAGAGAGAGAGATAGAGAGAGAGAGAGAGAGAGAGAGAGAGAGAGAGAGAGAGAGAGAGAGAGAGAGAGAGAGAGAGAGAGAGAGAGAGAGAGAGAGAGAGAGAGAGAGAGAGAGAGAGAGAGAGAGAGAGAGAGAGTGTGAACACAGCGGACGGCGGGAGTCTGCGGCTGACCACCCATGAGTAGTGGGTGGAGAGCGATGGAAGACCTCATGCTGGGATATACGAGCCGCAAACTTATCGTCGCCTGCAGTGAAGCGCAAGCGGCTCGATTCTAGTCAGAGGGACGTATTGTGGAATATGGCAGCCAACCGAGGACGCTGCGAGTCCCACAATCCGTTGAAGTGGATAGAGCTGACCCAAGCGAGCTCAGTGGAACGTCCCGGGCAAAGGGACGACCCTGTATCTCGCAGTACGGTAGTGTTCGACACAGATTACCGTAACGGTCTGCCGGGGGCCAGTCCCGGGGTCATTTTCCCGGCCAGCTAACGCAGACTCAACAGGCCACGGGTTGGCCGGTCACATTCGGCATTGATCTTGGATTTCGGGACGGATGTTAGATATCGACGATTCGCTGTTTATCGGTTGAAAGTTATCAATAGCGCCAATTCATCCGGCTAACCGAACATACAAAAACAACCATCAGCTTCAGAAATAGAGTTGAGTCGTAGAAACGTAGTTGTTGCTCATACTCTCAGAAACTGCAATTCATAAGTTCCCATTGGATAGCTTCGTGGAAACTTCGTGGAACAGTTTTCCAGAGCATTTTAGCTTTGGAAGGAGATGCATTTTCAGCTAGTTGCCCTCTAACAAACGCTGTTTCCGTCTAATCTAACTAGCCCCGAGTGCTGGAAAGTTGGTAGTTCCGAGTGAATGATGGTGGATTATTCAGAGGCTGTTTGCGACTCTTCGGCTCAGAAAGGCCACCCTGGACGAATCTCCATCACAATTAAATATCCCAAGCATGAAGCTCTCCGTGCATGACCAGTGTGACCAGAGCACTATCGCAACTATCCCAATCACTGAATATACGCTACGGCTATCCAATCACAGAGCCTCCCACGGCCATTATCATCGGCGATCGGGAAGCACAAATCGATCACCCAGCGACGGTGAAATCAGTCCCATCAGTCCCAGTCTATCGCCACCATGAATAATGATTATATGATTACTGAATAAATAAAACCAGTCACTCGTCAAGTCTCCCTGAGTCACGGTCAATTGTAGTCAGTCCCCACAAATCTCACTCCGTTGTAGTCTGACAGCCTATATCTACAGTGGCTGTGTTATTGTCGTCAGCCGCGTCAGTTCCAGTCTATTGTAATCAGGTAGCCCACAGTGACCCTGGCTGGTTGTCGTCAGTCTCTGTCAGTCTCAGTGCATTGTATCCAGGCGGACCGCAGTGACCCTCCCCCCCCCCCCCCCGCGGCGGGGACGGGCGGTTTTCCGGTCGCCACCCGGGTCGATACTCCCGGCCGGGTCCGGTCGGGAAGCCTCCCTTCCTCCCGCCGCCCGCGTCGTCAGCGCGGCCGGCCGACATCAGCCGCTAATTGGGACGAGCGTCGGAGCCGGCCCAGCGAGCTCCCGGAACCAGGCGCGCCGCCCGCCCCGCCCACACGGCGAGCAGGCTCCACACACGGACACACGATGAGATTAGGCGAATCCTTTCAGACGTGTCTTTTTACTCGCCCGTCCCTCGTTTCCATTCTAAAAAATGCTCTCGAGAACGAGAAAAGTGGAAGAGCGACAGGAATAAGAATTAATTATGGAAAACTAACAGCTCAGAGATAACCAATTGAGAGCACCCTTGGGCACGGCAATTTTGTTTAAAGCGAATCAGATTAACACAGAGCACAGACACCAGAGTCGGGGCTTCCGTAGCATTGGTATAAGCGCTAGGACACCAGCTGGCGACACCGGGGGATGCTTCATCGACTCAGGTCTGGGTGCGGCTCAAGCTCCTGCCATTGGGAGTCGGATTACCTTCGTCAGCCACGGTGACCAGTGAAGGATAATATTACACGGTTCATGGCTCGGCAGATGCCGGCGAGGGTCGTCTTACCGCGCCCCCGACTCGACGCGGAAAATAAGGACACCAGACTGACAGATAGATGAGGAATATCGAGAACGGACGGAGTCTGTCATCTAATCGATGCACACTGCACAGGCACGTCGCGACCTGAGTATGATATAACATACCTACCCCCAAAAGGAAAGATGATCGAATATACCAAGAATAAAAGAGCGTCGGCAGTCAGCACGAGTCGAATTGGAAGCGATGTCTAACAATGCGCTCAATATCAAGTCCAGTTTAGGATGGTTAGAAAATCCCACTTGAAAAGCACAATAGCTTGGTCAAATTATATTCTGCTTTTTGCATCATCGGAAACTGAAGGATAGCGCTACCCACAAATAAGTTACACGCCTGATTAACCCCAAGAACCTGCCGATCACTATGCCGATCAGTCTATCCAATCAGACACCTCAGAACGATTGATGGACCCGAACTGCCTGTTCAACTCTACCTCACCGGTTCCCCAGCCCGTTCTCTCAGCAACAGTCCTACATTACCCTCCTGTCTCCAGCGCCCAGAGGCAAGCATCTAGTCCCTTAGCCATCCCCTCCCAATGTTGGAATAATAAATTTTAGTCCTGATCCCGGATAATAAAATCTGTCCGGAGAGCCGGCCAACTTTTAGAACACTCAACAGGAAAATCCTATGTTTGGCGTAATGTGACAGTTGATAAAATGTGTTCTCTCAATGCTATAACTGCTGCATGTTTTAGGCGTAATAATAGCAGTTTTTCGTCACACAGGCCGGAAATTTAAGAGATTTCAGGTGCCGGAGTATAAATTTGTAAAGGAGAACAAAATCGTTTGGACGCGACTGGGACCAGCAAAAGGTCTCATTTCCAACATTGCCCCCTCCACGTCTCTCATGCTTCACCCACGAGTCACAGTCGCCGTGCACTCACCGAAGGCCCAGACGTCCGACTTGGACGAGAACCGGGTGTAGTTGAGCACCTCGGGCGAGGCCCACTTGATGGGAAACTTGGCGCCGCCCGAGCTCGTGTACTGGTCATCCAGAACGTACCTGAGAGGAGATGACGGGGACGTCACTGACAACCTTCAGTGGAACACGTCGTACATAAATGCTGAGACAAGGGAAATGCACTTAAAAACATACGATAGAATGGTAGGGAATGGTATAGATCAAGCATAGTGCCAGCGTGTGGCATGCTGTCCTACAATATTCGGGCCAGGAGTAAAGTTTTTGAGTTTTGATCGAGGTGAGAGTTACACGCTAAGAAACATGAGCGTTCTGACGCTATCAACAGCGGGAGGAAGGGAGCAGTCTGGAGCAGTCTGGAGCAGATCAGCATCGAATCAAGAGCAGGCGAGGAGTGGCCAGCTCATGACAGCTCATGACTGTCTCACGACTCACCTGGCCAGTCCGAAGTCGGCCACCTTGATGTTCATCTCGGAGCCGACCAGGCAGTTGCGCGCCGCCAGGTCTCGGTGGATGTAGTTATGACGCTCCAGGTAGGCCATACCCTTACACACCTGGAGATGGGGGGGGGGGGGGGCGGTTAGTTCTAACCCCATAGCGCCCGAACAGATCGAGAATGATGTGTCGGGTGTTGGGAGATCATCAATTGGTATGATTCGGAACGGTCCCGTTCTTTCAGCCATCGGAGGTGTTCAGATAATTTTACAATAAACACAGTATTATCTTACAACACAACGCAATTGATGTTGACCTAAGCTGACAAAGATTGCTTGGCATGAACAAACTAACGAGACTATACTTATACCTGTGTAATAAACGCGTGATTAAATTAGCATTTATTTTAAAAGAATTATGGAGCAAACGCAAATGACGTCTCTGTTCATTTCAGGCATTCACAAATTCGACATAAACGAAAACAACCCTTTGGGGTCAATGGTGCGCGCCTGAGACCGAATCAAGCTGGTAAGACGATAGGGTGTTAAGCTCGGGTAATGAAGCAAAGAAACTTCTGGGTTTTCATTAAAAATAGCTGCTTAAAGTGCACGTCAAGCATCACAGGAAAACACGTGAGGAGGCGTCCAAGAGTCGCAAACATATCCTGTATTTTAAGAAACGTGATTCACAGAACTAGTTCTAGCTCAGTTACCAAGCACTCCGCTCACACCGAATGTTCTCAGTCGGAAGAGCGATCTGAAATAGAAGTGCTCCAGCAGGGCAAACAAATGGCCAACTCCATCGAACTTTACTGGCGGCGTTCCGTCGGCAGCCGACGATACGGCCTTGCAATGAATTAAGCCGTGAGCGATACTGGCCGCCATGAATTACCCATCCCGGTACCGGCGGCCGCGCCGGTCCGCCGCCGGGGTGAGCGGAGTCGGAGGGCGTCCGGTAACGGTCACACAGTCCGTCCGAGGCTGCCCCGGCCCGGTGACAGACCGATAAGCAGCAGCGTGAAGGTCCCGACAAACTAATGAGCGACAGCCTGACTACGCACAGAGTCGCAGCCCTACAGGCTACAACCCACATCCAACAGTCACACAGTGTGACAATTCGACAAACCACAGGTTGACAGCCCGACAATGCACCCAGCATCCTCCAGCACCCCTGAGTTCCAGCCAGCGTCCGATGTCCCCTCGCCGCCCGGACTCCAGCCACCTCTCACCTGAATGCACATGTGCAGGAGGACCTCGATGTTGGCGATCAGCGTGGCCTCGTTCTTGCGCAGGTAGCTGTGCAGAGAGCCGTTCTTCATGTATTCGGTGACGATGAAGATGGGTCTCCGTTTGCTGCACACGCCATACAGCTGCACCAGGTTCTGGTGCTGTAGCTTCCTGGGGAGGAGCAGGCGGGCGTGTCGGGTAAGAATATGGGGAGGACATCAATGTCATGTTGCACTTAGCTCTGGAGACGCGATGGTAGTACACAAGGATACAAAAATACAGTTGACAGGATACAGGGATACAAAAATATTTGTACAAATTTGTAGAACACGTTTGTAGAACTATTAAGAACACATTCCATCTTTGAATCACCCATCTATGAAGTCCACGTGCTTCCTCAGACGGAGACGGAGAAACTAACACCTTTTCGACAATTGGATCTGTTATCTCAACCCACCGACCAGCGCCCTGCCTTCACCACCAGCCGGTAGACAGACCACGTCACAGGGTCCACCCACTGGGCGGGGTGGGGGAGGGGGCGGGGGGGGGGGGGCGGGGCGGGGCGGGGCGGGGCGGGTCAGCCCAGACAGCCGACGACATGACGGACGGCGGCGCGTCACCACTGAGGAGACAAATGGCGCCACCCGAGACGAGACGAGGGGCGCCGGCGCCGCGCCAGATTCGTCACAGGGGCAGTGGCAGCACACCATTACTGAAGACGTCGTGTTAGATAGTGGAGCGACGTATGATGGAGAACTACAGCGACGGGAGGACAGGAAGATGAGCCCATGTGTGAATTATATGTAGGTCTAGCGGCATGCCACATACCCCAGAAAAGGCACACTTCTAATACGAAGCAGTTTAAGTTTTAAACTCGTTATGGTCATCATTCACAGATTAGCTACATTTCGAGACCAGAATAAGATGAGCAGATAGGGCAAATGGCATCTCTAGAGACAAACCTCAGACATAACGTGGGCACACTATCCCACAGAGCTAGTAGCGGAAAACTGATAGGTACCAGCCTTGACCGGTAATGACTTCACAAAAGAATGAAACCTTACAAAACACAAGGTATCAAGTCAATATTATGCTCCCGGCTTTACAAAAACAAGAAGTTCCACTACAAAAGATGTCGCTGCATTAGATTAAGCAGCCGTAGCAGGCTCCAGCAAATTTCTTTTTGCAGTCAGGGCTCAAAGATGTGCGAGGCGCAATTCAAGGCTGACTATATACAATCAAACATTTCTAAAAACTCCGTTAGTGGCCCATGTTCTACAATTAATCGTGACAATTGACTCACAAATTCAGAATCAAAAGTCTGAAGTCGTACTGCCCCGGTCCTAACCCCATTTGCCTCATGCTTATTGTCCCCCTGCGGTGCGGTGGCCCACCAGGAGGGGACAACAGCCGAGCCCCACCAGTCACCCCGCCCTCTCCGTCCCCTCTGACGACCGCCTGAGAGGGTCATCAGATCAGGGTCAGTCTCTGGCGCCTGCCATCGACCCGGCTGCTCCGACCCGGTCGGGTCACTGAGGGCTCACTAATGAGCCGGGCTGGGCGGCAAAAACGACACTCAGACCAAGCCCGGCGCCACCAGTGCCAGACTCGGCGGCAGGGCGGCAACAGAGACAGGGGAAGGGAGAGGAGATGAGAATGGATAGAGGGAGAGGATGGAGCGGGAAAAACAGAGCAGATCGGGCAGAGTGGGAGTGGTGAGGAGGAGTCGAGGAGACAGTGGAGGGATGAGATGAGGGAACAGTGGACAATGCGAAACGGAACCGAAGCCGGAACTCGGTCTGAGAACAGCGACCACTGCCATCCATCTGGACAGACAAAAATGCTGCACCAGACAGACCACTCGCTACTGTCATGATCAAAACATCGCTGAAAATGGCAGACAATGCTAGACAGATCGGCCCAAATCAAACGGACATTTCAGCCATCAGTCTTGTTCAAGAATACTGTCGGCCGATTTCCTTGGACGGCCGGTCGTTTGGTGGGTTTTCACGACCATGGGCGGGCTATACGGACCGAAATGGCGGTCGGGTCACAGTTTACGCCCCGGCCGAGACGCGACAAAGCCGTCGCCTGTGTAGGCCAGACAGGACCACACCCCACTATTCAGATAGGACAAAGCCACCACCGACAGCACAGACCGGACAAACTACCGCCCTCTGAAGCTGATCGTACATGCAGCCGGAACGGTTATGTCTCATGAATCTTGTGGTACGGACTACCTAAAACAAATGCAGACAGGACCAATATATTCTGGGGCCCGGCATTTGCAGCTTCAGTACAATACAGACGGAGCCAGGGATGCGGAGCCGGAGCCGGAGCCGCCGGAGCCGTGAAATAATACAGCCCGGAGCCGGAGCCGGACTCATCAAAAAAGGCGGCGACTCCGGCTCCTTCTTTTAAGAGAATAAAATATTTGCCAGTTCGTTTTGACAGTACAAGGCGTAAAACAATGTCGTATTCAAAATAGCCTTGTTATACAAATACATACAGAAGCAATGTGTACCAATCCCATCGCCTTTTTTCTTCCACCCGTATTTAATTGATCGCATAGAGAATGTACTGAGTAGAAGCCGGAGCCGGAGCCGCCGGAGCCGGAGCCGGATCATTTTACTCGGAGCCGGAGCCGGAACCGGAGCCGCCATGACATTTCACCCGGAGCCGGAGCCGGAGCCGATTTTTTCTCCGGAGCCGGAGCAGGAGCCGTCTGAAATTTCCACGGCTCCGCATCCCTGGACGGAACCAATTAGAGCGGACTGGGTTTTGAGTGCCACTGGTCCACGCTGCAGCCGGACCCGTCTATGTAACACACTATTAGATGTGGTACACGAGAGTCGGACACATCGCATTTGCAATTTGAACTCCACTGATCATCAAAGCATACGGTCAACGAATTTTCCATAAGCCATGTGCATATCGGAAACCATACACCCATAGTAATTGTGTGACGCTGTATCGACTAATAATCTATCCACACCTATCCATGCTTCTATCCTCAGGATACTGAAATCCTTCTCCTCCACGCCACAACCCCCTTCCGGGCTGGACAGGCAACTTTATCTCATGCGGGCTGCTCCCTTGGAGCGGCACCGCTGCTCCCGAGGGAGCGCACCCCGTAGCCGGGTGCAGTGAGTGCCTTGGGGCTGGGTGGCCTGTCTTCTGGACGGGCTCAGCCCCGGCGACTCACTAGGGTGCCTGCCCAGACCAATGTCTCCCCCTAAATCCTATCATCCTTCCGGCTCTGCAATGGTCTTGTCGACCGAAAGGGCTTAACCCAACAAAACAAACAAAAATAATCTATCCAGCAGAAGCCAGCAGTAGTCAGACATAGCCAGACCCACACCGACCCTCCCCGGTCATTTGCAGCCACCCAGTCACCGCCGGCCACCGACGCCCGACTCTGACGTCAGATAACTGTGACGTCACTGGTTCAAAGGCTTCCGCAGCAGGTATGGCGTCAGAGGGTCGATACGTGCTTTAGTTACGTGGACAATGGACAACTAGGGAAACCATACAGTACCTAGGGCGGAAGAAAAAGGTCGGTAAAAACGCATTGCGCCATATAGACCAAAAGTAATTACTTCCCTAATTGCAGCAGTCAGGCGTCAAGGCTCAAGCCGTCATGACTAGGGATCTGAATCCTTTATGATCCGACCAGACCCAAACTATGGACACCCTACAAACCCGACTAGCTGCAGCGGATCACCATCCTCTTCCCCGTCACTTACGTCATGACCTTGGCCTCCTCGATGAAGTCGTCCTCGGACATGGTGCCCTCCTTCATCATCTTGACGGCCACGTCGATGGAGCCGCGCCACTTGCCTCGCCGCACCACGCCGAAGGTGCCCGAGCCGAGCTCCACGTCCAGTGTAAGCTCCCGAGGCTCAATCTCCCACTTATCTGCAGGTGTGGAGAGGGGGAGAGGTTAACGAAGGTAGAGGAGAGGGGTGGCCAAGGGCGGAGGGAGCAGGCGGCAGGCTGGGAGGGCTGGAGAAGGCAGCAGCAGATAAATGCCGTCATTGTGTTACACTCAACGAGTTTAGAGAAGCTCAGTGAATCAGACGCTCTCGAACAGCAGACAGAGTCCCACTGAAATTCCATTCCAGCCTCCCGCCGTGAGTGCACTCCGGGTTCCTCTCCACCCCTTCCTTATATGTGACAGTTGGGGTCGAGTAACCAGGCATGACTGAGCCTCCTCGTCTCCCCTTCCCCTGTGACTGAATCAGTCGCCCGTGTGACTGAATCTAGACACCCACCGTGGCTGAGTCCGGCGGTGGCCGGCGCAGAGCGGACTGAGTTTCTGTCCCTGTCACCCCAGCTGTGACTGAATCAGTCGCCCGTGTGACTGAATCTAGACACCCACCGTGGCTGAGTCCGGCGGTGGCCGGCGCAGAGCGGACTGAGTTTCTGTCCCTGTCACCCCAGCTGTGACTGAATCAGTCGCCCGTGTGACTGAATCTAGACACCCACCATGGCTGAGTCCAGCGGTGGCCGGCGCAGAGCGAACGGCGGCCAGCGGCGGCTGTTTGAGCCGCGTCGCCAGGCCGCCGCTGTTGTGCTGGTGGTAGTGGATCAGCTCCGGCACGCTGGCACACGTGTGCTTCTCAGAGAGGTAGAACTCGCCCCGGGCCGTCTGCTTGATGTGGTAGTGCTTTACTTGTGACCGTGGCCTGTAAGAGAGAGGGGAAGGGTTAGAAACGACGCCAGACAGGCAGACCTACAAGCATCGACACACCAACAGACATACAGAGATTTGTACTGACGAGAGAGAATAGAAACAACTGACAGCCTGTTAAAGTCAAGCATCATGATACATACAGACATAAATACACAAAAACAAACAACTGAAGACTTTCAGACCACTCTTCCATCAACGTACGAGTCGTGAACGCCAGATACTATTCCCAAAATATCCCACTGAAAAATAGCAAAGGGAAAACCCGGATGCTCCGAAGTTGATAATCGCCATGAAGCACGCGATTCACATCAAACTGAGCTCCGAGATGTGTCCGATAAAGAAAATGTCGGCCCACATTCATGCTTAACCGAGCGTGACGATTCCCATAGCCACGTCGGTAAATCTTGCCATCACTATCGTTTCCGATCGTCTGGGCACAGCTCTGAGCCTCATTGGTATCGTCACGTCATAGCAGCGCGGCGGCGTCAGTCGGTCTCGGTCCCGGCGTCCGCTCTCTGGAGGACGGCAAGCGAGAACGGCTGGATGGTCCGTGGGGATGGAATGCTGGCACAATAGACAGATATCGGGGATCGAGAAATCGGGGATAGTAGAGGAGGGAAAAAGGAAGATGGAGGCAAGATAAGGGACATCCCTGGACCCAAACATCTCTGCTGCTGTGGGTGGGATCATCAAGTTCAGTGGACATCGGAAGCAACTATCAATCTCCTATCGCACGTGACTGGTCCTGAGTGACGCGATGGCTAGTGCTAACGTTCGGGCTAACGTCTAATGGTACCCAGTGGCCAGCAGAGGCCCATGGGACGATTGAGGGACGATTGACGATTGAGCCCGACGATTGAGGATAACAAGGTGCTGTCAGCGCCCATACCGATTTAGTCAATGTTCGCTGTTCTGGGGCTGTAAGATCATCTGTTGTCATTGCTCGGACATGTGCCAGAGCCAGGTAGCGATGACCGGTGTCCAGCCTGCCCAGACAGGTTCTACATTACACACCAACGGCCGAACTAAGCCTATGGCCTGACTGATAATCCTCGACTGACGGCAGTAACTTGTGCAACATGTGTGACAAGAAGGAGACTGCTATAAAAGAATCACGCGGCGGAAGTATCCACCGGAAACTATGATATCAGAAATATATGCAGCGTTTGTAACACAATATCCGGACTTTCCATGTCGTCCGACGTCCCTCACACGACCTCTGACAAACAAACCAGTGGTGGTAAACCTGTCCGCACGGACGCCCCGACCGCAGAGCCACCAGGAAAACCGGCACCCTGATCGTCGCGATACACATCGCACCGCGGGGCATTCGGCCACAAACACGACTGGGTAGGCACAAAACACACACACACACGAAAGCACGACAGGACTGAGACAGGACAGACAGGCAGACTAGCTAACAACATAGTACAGAAGGTCTACAAAATAAGTTCTCTCCGCATGCGTGTCACCAGCGGGCAGTTAGCGCCTGAGCGATACTCAGGCACCACCCTGCCCGGATACGGAGAGGACTTATTTTGTAGACCTACGAGTACTGTACAGTGTACAGTCCCAACAGTTTACGTGTTCTATTCCTACTCAACTGTCTGATGTGGCGATACTCACACTTTGGTGAAGAGCGACAGCGTGTACATGCCCTTGGAGGAGGAGTTGCGGACCACGAAGCAGCCCTCGCGATCTTCGTGTTTGAGAATCGACTCGGAACGCTGACGACTCATGTCGACTGCATACCAGCTGAAAACGGGTGGACAGTGGGTCAGCGGTGGGTCAGACGGAAGTCAATCGTATTCAGATGGGCCAATAAAACATCTCATCAGGTCAGGGGGCGGAATCAACTGCTGGTCTGATAGGGTCCGACGGAGTCTCAAGACGGCGGGAGATGTTTGCAAATGGAATATTTTAGATACGCTGACGGAAGACGGTATGACACAGACAGATACCGTATCCAGCCGTAATCATCTCGCCGATACGGCCCACCTAACGCAAACCACCGTTCATGCTTCCACCGGGATTACACCACGGGCCGACGGGCTCCATATGTGACCTAAATGAGCTGGAAACATACTCACTCATACTGTTGCAGGCCGATTTGTTCCTTCTCCTGCACATAGTTACTGGGAATGTAGCCCACCTCACTGTCGGCAAAAAGGGAAGATCGTGTCAAAACCTGGTCCATGACAGCACAGGTGGAACGTTTTCGTGACAACAGTAGGATTTACGGGCACGTCGCGTTCGAGGACATCTGTGCTAGACAGTGGTAGTCGGAATAATTAACTTAAACTGTGGAATATCATAGTATGGTACAATTATTTCGACTTCCACTTGCCATGAAACGACAGAAAGGAGAAAAGCCTCGAAGGCCGAGCGTAGTTCCAGTTGCTGTTCCCAGACTGGCCTCGCTCCCTCTCTGTTCCGGCGGTCCTTTACACCCTAGCCTGTCAAATGGCCTGTGTTTACAGCCGATCTCCGGCAGTTACGTACCCGGCAGCGTTTCGAGCCTGCCACCAGTGCTCCTTCGAGTCGTCAATCACCTCGTACTCGGCACCCTGACGGCGGAGGGAGACCCAGACAAGGTCAGAGCGGGGACACATCAGACAAGTCTCGAGTATTAGAGGTAGCTTCATTCGCTCCCCGAAAGCGTTCCGCTATGGCCCCTTCCTTCCTGACACGTCTTGTCACATCTCTCGCGCTTCTCGAGCCGAGAGGGACACACTCTCGGTACAGCGACATACCTTTGTGAGCGAGAGGTCGCCATCCTCTATGGCTTGGTAGGAGTAGAGCGCCACCACAATCTTCGGTTTGGCAGGGGTGGGCGTGGTGGCCTCAGCCTGCGGTTAGACAGGAGGGATCAGTGTGATCCATAGAGAACAGAACATTGACAGGGGTGAAACCCCAAACGGCCATCAGCACGGAGCCGCATCAGTACGACCATATCCGACTTTTTCCTGTTATGCCAGCGTAACAATTCAACGTCAATTTTTTATATGACTAAGCATAATAATCAGCCTAGCATACGAAAAGGTGTTACTTGTCCACACTTGAATGAGTGACTGTAGGCAGACTGCATTGGTTTTAATGTCGTCACCGTCGAGACAGTCCGCTGTCTGGGCATTGTGCAAGTCACGATTCACCACCGATGCTGTCCGTCAGTAAATGCGGTACTGACATGGTTTCGAACTCACCATTGAAACGGTCTGTATGAGCGGCTGTGTCAAACTCACAATTGATGCAGTCTGAGTAAGCTGCTGTATTATTGACACGGAGTATGTAGAACTCACCATTGAAGCTGTCTGTGTGAGCAGCTGTGTTTAACTCACCATTGAAGTCATATATGTGTGCGACTGTTCTTGGCAGTTGGCACGGAGTATAACTCACCATTGAAGCGGTCTGTGTGAGCGGCTGTGTTTAACCTCACCACTGAAGTCATATATGTGTGCGACTGTTCTTGGCACGGAGTACAACTCACCATAGAAGCGGTCTGTGTGAGCGGCTGGCCGGTGAACGGGACAGGAACGCCGCCCGGCGCGCCGAGAGCACCCACTGTAGCCACCGCACGGCGGGAGGAGACGACGACACAAACGGGCCGGTCAGAGCAGTAACACACAAAACACGGTCACAGGCACGCAGAACAGGCAGACAAACGAGAAGAGGCTGGTTCAAAGAAAGAAAACGACGGGCAGACACAGACAGGCAGTGCAGCAGATATGCAAAGCAGCAGAAACTCGCATGAAAGCAAGTGCATGACGGCAAGCTGGTTCATCAGATGTTATAACTTATAAGTGTGTAGGATACGCCGAAGGAATATAATAACATGGGCGGACACCCTCCGTGGATTGCCGGCAGTATTAACTGAGTAGGTAATTTCAACGGACAGCTGTCCTTGTAGATGAACGTAGATAAAGCAGGACAATATGACGAAAGCATCAAATCGGAACCAAACACAACCGCTAACGAAGAGACGGTTCAAACTTAGCAGGAGGCATCACTCGCATTGCGCATACAATGCGAAAAACGATAAGCAGAGAGCAGCAAACGTTAGCCAGATACAAACAGCCCAACAAAAGCGAAAGCAACACTACACACTAAACACAACACTGCTGTAAACTGGCATAGACACGTCTTTCAGCAAACAAACACCCACACACACCATAAACTGCAGACGCGTCGCACCGCACCTGTTGTGGGGCCGTCGAAGGCCACTGGTTCGGGGTCCGTAGCGGTGACCTCCGGGTCAGCCGAGCCCATGGGCGTGGCCTCCTCACAGCCGGCAGTGGCCTTGTTGATGTGTCCACAGCACTGCCAGCGTCCGTTCTGCCAGATGGAGGGGTGGTAGCGCGGCAGCAGGCCGCTGTTCACCCGGCACACTGCCGGAGGAGAGCGGGCACCGGGGGTCAGCGAGCTATCGGCACCGTGAGTCAGTCGGAGCCAGTGATAACACGGGAAGGTGAGGAGGTACGAGCGGCGGATAGGCACTGGTTAGAGGTGGCAAAAGGTGAAAATTTTGGGAACCAGACTCGAACCGGACCCGACTGCACATTTCTGGAACCAGTCGGACCCGGTCTAAGTTGGAATCGGAACCAGTTGGACCCGTTCCCCAAAAGTCAATTATTGCGAACTATTTTTATGTATCATTAGTTGCATCATGTAAAACAGTTTTTTCCACTGGGAATACTCATGAGCTACAGTGACCAAAAAACATACATGAGCAAATGTTTTCTTTCCATTCACTTCATATTTTGCAATCATGTGTAGTGTGCAATATGTATGGTTTATGGTAGGACCCGGTTGGTCCCGTCAGAAAATTTCCAGGAACCGGTGTGGACCCATATGGGCCCAGACTGGTTCTTTGGACCGGGTCCTCGGGTCCACATTTTGCCACCTCTAGCACTGGTGTATAGCACCGACGGGAAGAGGATGTGGTTTATGTCGTCATACTGGAGAGGAAGTCCAGTTGGCCTTGACTGGAAGGAGAGGGGAGAGGGGACAATGCCACGCCTGAGGGAATTGAAGAAAGCTTAAGTGAAAAGGAAATGTAGGGTTCCATGAAGATAAAGCGGACTACAGAAGCTGGGAGTCTACAGGAAGACAAATAAATGATGCCGGGGCATTACAAAGCCGACTAACAGATGACTATGATAAGACGTTAACAAAAGGCTAATGGAACTAATCGGAAAAAGGACATTAATTACTAACCCCCAAAATGTATCACATCGAACAGCAAGGCATATGGCGGAAAGGGGGCAGTGCATTGTGTGGAAATCTTTTAGGACATAAGATTCTTTAAAACAGGAGACAAACACCCTGATAGCTGCAGCACTGTTTGATATGATCAGTTGGGTTACTACCGCCCGAGTTCCCTGGAGTTCCCCCGCCGTCACCAGCCCGCAGCGCCCGTCCCCATCCCGCAGCATCCACCCCAGCCCGCAGCATCCGCCCCCTGCCCGCAGCGCCCGCCTCATCCCGTCCCCTCCCCCTCCACTCACGTTCCCTGAGCGCGCGCAGCCACTCGTCTCGCTCAATCTCTGACGAAGCCGACACGTAGAGCGTGTACTCGCCGTAGCCCAGCTGGAAGCTGTGCGGTCGGCTGTCGAGCGCGTACTCGCTAAGTGGCTCCACCACGCGCACAGCGCTCAGCTCTACGCGGCCTTTTTCCCGACCCTTTCTCTGCCGGACACAAGAGTGGACACGGCGTCACACACACGGATACACAGCGGACAAGGACATACAAGTCGTTACAAACACTGAAACGATGCGTATACCGTATCGCAGATTCGGACAAGACTCGAACATAGCACAGCAGTCTGGGACACAGCGCGGAAACAGCGTCACAGAAACAGACACAGTGGACACCGCTTCGCCGTAGGTATGCGCCTTCTCTCGACTGCTTTACTGTCTGTCTGTTTGCCACCCCATTCATCAAACACACTCTGTCCTATCCCATTCTGTTCGATCACCGCCCTCACCTCCGGGTCTCCATCGTGATACGTCAGCACCGTGGACGTCAGCACGAACCAGCGGTCCTTGTAGTTGACCGGCCCGAAGCGCTTCTTGTTCTGCGACCGCTTCACCATGAAGCTCTCCTTGATGATGGGACCACTGGGCTTGGTGCTGGACTGGTCCAGGAAGCCCATGATGGCGGGCAACAATCTGGCGGCCAGCTCTCTGCAGGCGGAACAGCAGACATCACTGGATTTGGCACAGCAGAACAGAGAACAAATTACCACAGAACTTGAGTGCAGAACACAAACTGACACTGTACATGCTGGTTTGTTCAAACTGACTTTGTATCTATAGTTGGGTTCAAATTTTGTCCTGACATGAGACATTTATAATTCATTTAATTGATAGACTTAGGAAAGCAGGAATGCAGCTAAAGTAAAGAATAAACCAGCATCCCTATTCCCTGCTCCATGTCAACATCAACTAAGCCGTCGATGCCTTGGTTTAGTACTCTAATAGAAGCTGTTGTTCTAGCCTCTAGGATGTAGCTGTGGTATAGTTTTTCACAAATCTGAGCAAATCAGAGAATGTGAAGAGAGTTAAGTACAGCTATCAGAGCTTCTGCCAAAAATATTGCTCATTACAGCCCATTTGAGACATTTATTTCTCAAAGTATCGTATTATTAGCAGAGATAGGCACTAACATATCAATCATCGCTTGAACCCAGTCTGCTGATCAACCAAAATTGGAAGATAATAATCAATGGTTGCTTTACTAGTAACAACAGAGCCATTCTTGAAGTTCAAGATATTTTTTAAATTTAATCAAAACAAGATTGAATGTACAAAAAAGCAAAAAAAAAATTGAGTGATCACAGTTGTAAAATAATATTAGGTAGAGGCAAGTTTCAAAACTAGTTATTAGAGATGCATTATTCAGAGGTATTATGTGAAAAACTTACACAGATGTGAAAATACACATACCAAATTTTTAAATAACATGTGAGAGATAAGGTGTTTGACAGTTTCTTCTCATGTCAGTTAGGAAATAAATTTGTTTATTCAAGTCCCAAGACAAATTGTCCTCATGCATGCATTATATTTAAAAAAAAAACATCAAATTATCCTTTGTTTGTTAATTGGGGCTTCAGGGCGCGCCGACTGCTAAGGTCATTTTGCGCCCACATCAAATTATCCAGAAAAAAAAACTAAAAAAACAAGAAATATTAGGTAACACAATAAGGATTGCTATGTCACAAAATAGACAAACAATTTTAACAGTAATTGTTTATTTACCTTATAAATTCCCAGCTTAATGGTGTTATAATGCAATGTTTAACATACCTGTTTGTTTGAATATCATTCAAGAAAAAAGTGAATGATGATTGATAACCTAAAACAGAAAAGGACTGAGTAAGATGAAAGATAGTGTAATCCAGTAAGAGAATGTAATGTAGCAACATAACTTAGCATGGATATTTTATCAAATCCCAAAGCATAGGTATTACATCAAACATTTGATGAACAGTGCGATGAACAATGAAATACATAATATATTGAGCTATTGACAGAAAGATTTACTTTTAGTCAATTTTACAGAAAACATACAATTTTGTTTTACAAAATGTCATGCATATTATGTCACACAATTGCTTTAATATCAAACCATGGAAGGGTATCACTTTATTAATGCTTATTGCAAACACCACTAGGCACTAACACTCATCTCATCTATTTAGTTCTCACTTCTCATTACCTACTAAAATGAATAGGTTCATAGCCTAGAGCAAAATGATTAGGAATCTGTCACTGATTTTACCTACCGTAAAATGGGGTGTTAACCCGCGAGTTGCTGGGGGGGGGGCGTTAAACGCCCCCACTTTTTTCGCCGGGCCATAGCATAAAAACGGCGCGCCGCAGGCGCGCCAAATTTTGCGCACCTGTAGGGAATTGATTGAAGTTTATTGTGACAAAGTTTCAAAAAAATCGGTCGGAATTTTTTTGAGATATCGAGGTTTTAGTGACGTCATGATTTCTGAGTTTTCGACCAAAAACGGCATATGTTCAAAAAATCATATAAAATCACAGAATAGACATACAGACATGCCGTAAACGCCATTAGACTGCCAATACCATGAGCAATCACATGGCTATCTTCGATTGTTGATTATCGTTCCGCATTTTCCAAAATCTTGAACTGAATCTTGGCAATTTCTCGTGACCACTTCACGACCATGATACATGTATTTCTTAAATTGAACTTTTTTAGCCAAACACGTACACATATGGTAAAATGAATGTCACCATCGTGTTCTACGCCCCAAATTACCCATAAAACATGTGTCACAGGCTGCGAATATCAGTTTTGATTTTCGGGGATATGTGCCTGCCCGGTTGACCTGACCTTGACCCTGACCTATGCTTCACTGACCCCTACATGGAGCTGACACTCTTGTAGGCCTTATATGATGGATTGTGCACCGTTTTGACAGAGTTTATGACGAGAGGCGCCCATTGCGAAGTCCTGAAGTCCATGCTACTGAAAGCCCGATTTCAGGTGTTTGACCTGACCTTGACCTGACCTGTGACCTCAAAATTCAACTTTAAAGTACTCATCTGAAGCGTCTCGTCGCGTTCTTTCGTTTGCCGCCTCGTTCGTTTCGCTGCGCCTATTGGTTCTCGAGTTATCGGCTGGGGGCGTTTAACGCCCCCCCCCCAGCAAACGGTGGGTGGCGAAATACCCCAGCAACTGCCGGGTTAAGGGACAGTTTTGAGGTGTTTTGTTATATAACTCAAGAAGGGTTGGAGATAGAAGCATCACATTGTCAGCATTTTATGTGGAATTTGGTGCTTTACATGCCTGCCACATTAAAGTTTTTAAGATTTATACCTGCATATTATTTTTTATTATTTTTCATCACTGTCCCTTAGCACCCCAATGTGGGGTGTTAAGGGACACCTATATTATTCCAAGAAATGGTCATCAAATGCCCACAATAGGGGTGTGGAAGGGCACACAATTTATTTATTGAAGTGTTTTGCATATTCTGTCACAAAAAAAGTCAGGTTCATTCACCACTAATGACCTTTTTAGCCAATTACGTGTAATGCAGTTTACGCTTGTGGAAAATGTGCTAATTATAAGGTAAACAGAACCAAAAAGTAATCTTCTGTCATCAATAAAAACCCATGTTGAAGCTTGTCACTTGTCATTATGTTGCGCTCTTTGTTTAAGCCTTTTTATGATGACATCACATTTACTTACATCAGCCTCTATTGACCGGTCATTGTAAAAGAGAGTGTTGAGATGTTTTGTTACATAACTTAAGATGTGTTAGAGATAAAAGCATGAACTTGCCAGCATTTTATGTGGAATTTGGTGTTTTCCATGCCTACTTAATTAAATTATATTTAGATATTATTTTTTTATTTTTTCTTCCCTGTTCCCTAGCACCCCACATCCACCTCAAAATATGCATGTATCCGGAAAAGATGAAGAGGATGATGAATGAATGGGTGGATTTCCACAAGTTTTTCAGGAAACATGTGCAATACATGGGACAATACACCTATGCATTCATTTTCCCTGTACACCCACTAGTTTATGTGCTACACACAGAGTTTTGGAGATGTTTCAATTTTGTGAAAATGTAGCATGATTTTCAAATCCATTTTTGAACCAAATCACTTGCATGAAAAACCATACCATTGTCTCCTATGGTCAAGAGCAAAACAGTGTCAACTACCACACTGAAGTTTTTATTGAACCTTCTCAAATTAGGAAGTTAATATGACTCAAAGTTTTTCCCATGCAACTGTCCCTTAACACCCCACTGTCCCTTAACACCCCATTTTACGGTAATACCTATAGCATCCTCATGTAAGAAGTGAACATTACATGTAAGCACTCATGCAAGGTAATGGAAGCTACTGCTGGTGTTAAGAAAATGTTGATAAAAATAACAATAGGATGAGAAATGATAAGCCTGTTCCTGTTCTCTAGCTCAGTTGGTAGAGTGCTGGACTCCAGGACATGAAAGCCTGTGTTTCAGTCACACCAGCACCCAATATTTGAGACTCCTGATGGGAATGGTCAGTCTGTGGTTGGTGGAAGCAGCCACAGCCAGTTAAGGTCAGTTGAGTGGGACATGCAAGGGCCAGCTTTGATGAGCACATTAAACTTTGGCATCTTAATTCTCCCAATGGTGCCCAAAATAGCATAATTGAATGGTAGGGGTTGGGGTCTATGCAACAAGTTCTCCTTACAGCTATTCGCTATGGCACTGTCAATCTGTCCATTGAAGCATTCTAGTATTTTTTAATAATTCATATCCAGTAGATCACGTACACAAATCCCTGTTCCGAGAGGCCATCATGTGGCAAGCACCAAGGTCACTGTTTAGTGTTTCCAGCACAGGACTTGAACCAAGATGACTGACCTCACCAAGAAGCAAAGAAATTAGCTGAAGACTTAAATATTCCCAAACAAATTACAAAAACCTTTGAACTATACGATACAACTGACAAAATACATTTATGACGCGGCAAATTATAACAGCTTACCGGCCTCTGACCGCTTGTTCGCCAAGCAAACTACAAACTTACCGAACAGGACGTAGAATTACGATAAATAATATACCATTAACAGGCCTCCAATTGGCTGTAAAATATTAAAATTATGAGTTCGATTCTGGGTCCAACTCACACCGCGCCATATAAAACGACAAATCGGACGAACACCGAAACTGGATTTGGTAGCAATTCTTTTTTAGAGGTTTTCCTTCATTAGCAAATAAAATATTGACCTTGAGTGTGGTTCATCTACTGCGCAACTACTTCATTTGTAAGAGCTCTCCACCACTAAATTGATGTTGCGGGCCATGAACATGCATCTGAGCAAGCATCTGAGTCGTCCTGACGTTTGACCATAAGCTTTTAACACCGCCTGACTTGGAACTCAGTATTTGCTTGGCTGCTCAAAAATTACTTGTTGGCTTGTGAATCGATTTTGTTGCTTTATCTTATCAGTGTGCGATACACTGTGCTGAAAAATGATTAGCCGAATCACTTGAAATTGTGTCTATCGGCCACGCTACTGCTGCTTCGAATTTGCTAATTATATATTGCTAGTTTTTGTCTCACATACCTCATTTCTGAGAGCTGTCCTGGGTACAAATCACATCACAGTTACGTATGCTGGGCACCTAATTGTAACGGAACGTTATATTGTAATTCAGGGCTGCGGAGTCGGTGGATTTTCGGCGACTCCGACTCCGACTCCGACTTTAAAAAACCAGCTCCGACTCCGACTCCGACTCCGGGCAGAATTGTCGACTCCGACCGACTCCAACTCCCGACTCTGACTCCGCAGACCTAGCAGGGCTGCAGAGTCGACGGATTTCCGGTGACTCCGACTCTGACTCCGGCTCGGGTTTCTAAAATCAACTCCGACTCCGACTCCGGTCACAACTGTCGACTCCGACCGACTCCGACTCCGACTCCGACTCGACTCCGCAGCCCTGTATTGTATGACTACCCTTCAAAGCCATTATGCATTAGCCATGATGCAAACGGGTAGAAGTACGGCATTTATGGTGAAACTGCAATCTAAAAACATCAAACATATCAGATCTTGTTTGTCAAGTCTTGCGTCAGTGCTCAATAATTCCCTCTGCAAGCAACATCAGCATGTAGGTTTGGAACATTTTTGTTTATGCCTTGCAGCCAGTTTCCACATTTGTAGAACTGCCTTGTTTTTTTGTGTTTGAGTTGACCAGCACTGCTACCCGAAAAACATGAACTAATAGTTAATAAGCATTGTTGTGGGTCAGGATAATTAATTACTTCTAAAGCTAGTTTAAAACATCTACAGTTGTTTTACTGGCCTGTCTATTCTGCTGAGTGCTCATCCGTCATCCAGAGTAGAGTAAAACCTTGCTTTGCCACTCAGTTTTCTTTGTATGGCCTGGAAGGTCTGTGGTATCAATTATTGTTCCATTCCTACAGCAGCTACAGAATGGTGGTTTGGATCTTGAGAGGATCAGTGGCCTTCCCATTGTCCACCACCCTGGCTATGTGTGCCAGCTGCCTGCTGGGCACAGCTTTCCAATGGCAAAGTTCAACATGATCTTTGATCTGTTGGTGAAAGATGGAGTAATTGACAGCTGCAAACAGGTGTGTTTACCAGCATTCAGGTTGTAAATATGTGTGCAGAAAGGGTCATTTGTTGTTACATTGCTGTTGAACAATTTGTGTGATGGTATAGAAAACTCTTCTTTTAGGGTCATAGGTATGGAGACATGATCTTCTACCCTGCCAAAAGGCAAAAGGAATGTTTTTATGAACAACTTTGATAGGTAGGTATTTGACATTCTAAGTAAAAAATTATAGAACCTCTGCACAAGTGCACACCCTCCCAATGTTTCCACAGCTGCTTACACCAGAGGCTGTGTCCCGGGAGGTGGCGTGCCTTGTCCACTCTGAGGAGTATGTGGACAAGTTCTTCAATGGACACACTACCAGCCAGGAGCAGAGGGTTACCGGTATCCCGTGGTCGCCGGGCCTGGTCTCCAGGGTTCGATATGAAACCGGTAAGCTGCCGGTTTCCCGCTTCCCAGTGGAGACTATCCTATATTCCTAGTTATGACGAATGAAGATGGTTTTATTTCAGATGTGAATGCTCGTCAAAAATGTGTGATATTGACCGTTCTGCAGTCATAATCGTCACTAAGTATGACTGCTAACTGATGGTGTGACGATGACCGGTCGGTAAGTGATATTCCCCGACATGCAGGGCTGCGGACAGGGGCGGCGCTGACCTATTGAAAGTAGGTAGGCACTTGGTAGGTAAGGCAGAAAAGCTGAATACGGAATATGTAGATAAAAGGGGGAAAAGACAGTCTTATTGCTCAGTCGGGATGCGTCAAGCAGCGACAGCAGCGTCATCTACAACAACCATTAACTTAACTAGAGCTTACACGTCTGCCGCCAGAGACAAGCTAGTCTCCCAGTCGGAGTCTAGTTTGTCCAATATAGTTTTTAAGAAACAATAGAATAACACAACAGGCATAACAACGCTAGGTACCATAAACTAATGATAAAAAATTGATAACGTAAAATGTGTTTTATTTTATGATAAATGGACTTAATAAAAAGTCAAGTTTGAAAGTTAGAGGGTAGCACCTAGTCGATGTGCCGACCATCTAAACTTTTTCTACCAAAAGGCTCAATAGCCTCAACATGGCAATAGTCGGTAATCTAGTAGGACGAGGTAGGCACAATTAGGCAAAGGTTTTTGTCAAGTTGTTGTTATAATACGATCTTTGTTTGACGTTTTTTTGAAAAGTTTGGGCAATTCTCTTTCGTTTCAACCCATTTTAAAAAACGAAGAGAAAAAGATCTTAAACAAAAGCAATCAAACAATCAAAAGCCACAGTCTAGTGAGGGTGTAGACGCAGGGGAGACGACAAATGACGTAGGCACTGCCTACCTTGCCTATATGGGAGAACCGCCCCTGGCTGCGGAGTCGATATTTTCAGCGACTCCGACTCCGACTCCGGCTTTCACAAACCAGCTCCGACTCCGACTCCGACTCCGCAGACCTGGCAGGGCTGCGGAGTCGACGGATTTTCGTTGACTCCGACTCCGACTCCGGCTCGGGTTTCTAAAATCGACTCCGACTCCGACTCCGACTCCAGTCACAACTGTCGACTCCGACCGACTCCGACTCCGACTCCGACTCCGCAGCCCTGCCGACATGTTTGTCGTTAGACAGAGATCACTCGCCGCTCCCCGTCCCGTCCGCCAGGTGGGACGGTGCTGGCGGCGCGCGCGGCGCTGCAGCGTGGTCTGGCGTGCAGTACCGCCGGCGGCACGCACCACGCCTTCCCCGGCCACGGCTCGGGCTACTGTTTCCTGAACGACCTGGCGGTGGCGGCCCGACTGCTGGGCGCCGGCGATAACCCCCGTCGGGTGCTCATCGTAGACCTCGACGTCCACCAGGTGAGGAGTCGTCGGTGACCTCAGCTGACTGCCACATTGGGCGCCAGTGTCAGCACTGACCGAATACTGAATACGTGTCGGTTTCCGATCATCGATAAAACCGCTACCGGTGATTTTTTTATCGTCAGTTGTGATCTACCTATGTTATGCAGTTACCCTCAATAAAAAATTGGCTTCTTAGATGTTCTGTTTCAGCCAATTGCCAAGCAAATATAAAGCTAAAGAAACCAATTGGAGGAAAACCGACAGCCTTAGCCATCTCCCCTCCTCTAACCGGCAAACATCACCGACGTTGGGTGTTTCCCGACACTGACCGTCTTAAACCGACAGGGAGACGGCACCGCGGCCATCTTCGCCGGCGACGAGCGCGTGTTCACCTTCTCGGTGCACTGCGAGAAAAACTTTCCGCTGAGGAAGCAACGCTCAGATCTGGATGTCGGCCTTGACATGCACACGGCAGACGTCGCCTATATGGCAGCACTGCGCAATCATATGGCAGCACTGCTCGACCTCTTCCGGCCAGACTTGGTCCTTTATGACGCCGGCGTTGACCCCCATGTCAACGACGTGCTCGGCAAGTTGGACCTCTCCGACCAGGGTAGGTGTTTCAGTTTGACATACATCCGGGTGCTCTGACATAAGTTATTGTGGGTATATGTGCAGGATCTAATCCAAATAAGGTGGGGAAATAGCGCAGTTGGTAACTTTAGGTGCGGCATTAATCATTGTTGTTATCCCGGATCGTAAAATGAATGACATGAAAACGTAGGTCGTTTTCTTTCCGTGGTGTTTTACCTGCGTATCGCTGGTTTTACTTTTGTTTTTGATGGATCTGGTGATCGCATTAGGTTGACTAGTGACTACCCCTGCAGCTGTGTTTCGTTGACGGTGGAGTTAGCTGATAAGTGACTGTGTGTCTGACCCCGGCAGGTCTGTTCGACCGTGACTATTTCGTGATGAGCGAGACGGTCCGTCGAGGAATTCCGTGCGCTACCGTGATCGGTGGAGGCTACTCCCGAGACCTCTCCGAACTGGCCCGGAGGCACACGATAGTTCATCGCGCCGCTACTAGGGTGTACCAGGAGAGACTCGGCTCGTAAAGCCACTGGAGCATGCTCAACTCATCACTGCCTCGACCTACGGCCGCTGTGTACTTGGGGAGACTCAGTTATAACCTCATTGGACCGTGGCTCGCTGCGCCAAAAGCGCCTTGTGCTGGAAGCTAGTTATATGCGAAGTTCACAAAACCTGCAATCTGAAGATTTGGCTATTATAAATTCGGTCCAAGAGGTTCTGCTAATGTGACGTTATCAAAGTAATCCTAAGTGTGCTATTCTTGCATCAAAACTCGGCACCAAACGCTGCTAATATTTGGGAGCTCTAAAACTTTGAGGTCGGGTGCATGTATTTTGCTTGTGTTATTTTAGATCAGCGTTGTTGGACTCCGTGGGCTGTTTATCTGACGGAACTTTTTTTGTATTGACATGACAGTTCTCTCATTGTCAGTATGATAACATATAATGCTCCAATATTTTGAACATGTTTGTTGTGTTTGTTATTTTGTGAGGCTTGTGTGTTAGTAGATGGTATCTACCACCCAATATGTGCAATAATTGGGACAATTTTCCCTATTTCATAAATGGGATGGGTTTGACATTTACGACCGTAAGGCGTATAGATGACGGCTGTTTATACATAAGCAGTAAGCACGGCTGGAACGGTATCCGAGTCGGAAATGTGCGTGGTGTGCCTTCTGAAGCTGTTATCACAGCTTTTAAACCGTGTACCAGTGAAGTGTTTAATAGAATAAAACGAAGTGTGGTCTATTCCGTGCTTTTTACAAGTGTACAAGTGATTGCAAAGAGCATGACGTTCGTTGATATTGGCATCAGTGGGTGGTGACTTGAGATACGTTTATTTGGTCACACGAGTTTTGTTTTCAAAATGCTCTGAAGACCTTTGACCGAGACCTTAGTCCCAGTACCAATGGATAGCCTAAATGTGATTCTCATAACGGTAGGGTAGGTCACGACCTGTTCTTTGCACTAGAGCGTTCGGGGTTAACTTTTGAAATTTGAGATTGAAAGTGAACATATCGAAAAGACAGGCAAGGCCTACAAGGCACGTTCATTACAATTACGCCACCATTTACATATCGTTGTCTTTAATCTTTTTAATTGCTCGCCGATACCTTTGCTGCTTTATTACATTTCCTGCGCACCTTAGACGTACGTTTTTATGCTCGTTCTTACCTCATTTCAGTTTTTGCTATCCCAATCAGCGAATCAACTGAAGAAATCGTAAGTTTTGCTCGCGATCAGCTCTGAACAATCATTGGAGAGAACACAGCTTACTGTGCAACTTATTGAGGTAGGTGGGGTAGGTGGTAATTTGTTATTTTTTCTGTTTGCAGCAAGCTGAGAAAGGGAAGAAGAAGTGCAAGAGAACGACGAATTGACGCTGGGTCGATAGTTCTGCACGGCAACTGTAAGAATTAATAAATTAATTAATTAAACTGAATTGCAGCATGATGGGAATAATTAATAACAATTGATAAATGACTGCAATTTGAATTGTTGCTAAATAACTTCATGTTGTGACTTGTGAATTCAAATTGTGCAACGATAAACGATAGACTATAGTTAAGGTTGAATATCTTAAATAAGACCCTCTTGCAGAAGCTGGTCCCATTGCTTGGTCGGTAGGTACCTACTGGTAGAGCATTGGACTCTGTGTGGTGAGAGCATGTGTGGTGTTCCCTGTTATAACAGTCCGGGTTTGAAGCACGACAGGTGCTTGACGTTTATGAGCCCCCTGACAAGTAAAGTTGCATTTGTTGGCACTTGGTAGGGCCTTGTCAGGTGAATTCAGTTGGCGAAATTCAGTACAAATTCAGTATGGTCAAGCGTGCCCATTTTTGAGAACGCATTTGCATTCCATGTTTGGGAACAAACAAAAAAAAATATGGGAATGCTCTGTAGGCATTATTTAAAACAAGAAGAAGAACCATAAAAAGATGTCCAAAAATTATAAAACGATCGTGAACTGCCTGATATTTGTCTCAATATTGTTGGGAGAGAGTTAAATATTGTTAAGCTCAGCGTAGTTTCAAATTATTCCCCTATTTCTAAAACAGTCCACCGTCCGGACCATGTGCCCAAATTTGGGAACGCTTTTGTACGCTGGCATTGCCAGCGTTCCTCGTTATGGGAACGGCGTACCTATCCAAATTCCAAAATTGGGAACAATTTGGTAAATGTCAAGTTTAAGTCCTAAGAAGATTTCATTGATAAATTTTTCATATTTTTACATTATTTGACATCCTGAATCCAAAAATGATACTCATGTCTCGCAAATAAAAGAAAAAAACATAATCAAACCTGACCTAACCTTACCTACTTACCTATAACCTACCAACCTACAACCTACAAACCTACCCTAACCTAACCTAACCTACAAACCTACCTACCTACAACCTAAAACCTACAAACCTACAACCTAACCTAACCTAAAACCTAAAATTTTTGCTATTTCATATTTGTATCAACAGTGTCACAATTGTAGTTAGGACCTAAACTTGACATATACCAACAATTTCACCGACGCCTTTTGCGGGCTGTTTTCATCAACACGCATTACGTCCGACACCTCAACCCCGACACCTCAACCGCAACAATCATAAGATGACCTTTCCAGCAGCCGGCAGGACGGCCGCTTGCTTCTCCAAAAGTCGAAATCGCCAGGTCTTCTGCGCTCTCACTCCCGTCGATCCCGCAGTGGGCAAGCCCCCCTCCCCCCCCCCCCGGCAGGATTAAGTACTGCGCAACGCTAAGCGATGTTTAGCAAGGTCTTCCATGCCTAAATATCCGCCGTCCGCGCTGAGGGTGGAGGCATGTCAAACACCTGTCTGTTTAAAGGGACCCTCCCACCTATAAAAAAGTTAATGAATTGACATAAAAGTGATGTCACATGGACATGGTTCGGATTGAGCAAAAATGAATATCTACGAAATTTCGTCTCGATCGGCCCAGTGCAGTGGTTCCTGAGTTATAGAATGACAGGACTGTCATAGGCGACAACAGTCATGTGACCTCCCAAAGTCACCAAGGTCACCTGAGGTCACCATATTCGAAAGTTGAAATGGCTGATGAAATCGCATACGCTGAATCGACTGGTGGTGTTTTCGTCGCGATCGGCCCAGTAATTCTTGAGTTATAGAATGGCTGCAATATGCGACAACGGTCCCGTCATGTGACCTCCCAAGGTCACTGAGGTCACCTGAGGTCACCATAATCGAAACGGCTGACGAAATCGCATACGCTGAATCGACTGGTGGTGTTCTCGTCGCGATCGGCCCAGTAGTTCCTGAGTTATAGAATGGCTGCAATAGGTGGAAACGTAAAGTTGATCTTTCGAGGTCACCGAGGTCGCCTGAGGTCACCATATGCAAATCGGCTGATGAAATTGCACACGCTGAATCGACTGGTGGTGTTTCCGTCGCCATCGGCCGAGTAGTTCCTGAGTTATTGAATGGCTGCAATAGGCGAAAACGGAAAGTTGACCTTTCGAGGTCACCGAGGTCACTTGAGGTCACCATATTCGAAACGGCTGATAAAATCGTACCCCTGATTCGAATTGTGTTTTGTTCGTCCCGATCGGTTCAGTGGTTCCTGAGTTAGAGAATGGCTGCAAGGGTGGCGGTCGAATAGTGTTGTCCTGCATCAGCCGACTCAAGGCCTAGCTGACAAGTTGTGTTCATCTTGCTTTTTTCGGCTGTGACCTCCATTCTTTCTTTTGCTTTTCCTCCTTCCTCTTTCTTCTCACCATGCACCTGCTGTTCAATAAAGGTGTGACACTGACATCGGGCGCCCGGCCGCGCCATCTGCACATCGGTAGTACACAGCCGATAAATACGCGTCCGCTCGCGCCGTAAACACGGGTTCACGTCATGCCGCCCTCTGTCCGACCTCGCCGGGGGCGGCGGCGGCGGGCAGTCGGCTCCGTGTTTGTTTCGCCACCGGTGCAGAGCAGGCAACAGTGGCTCGGCAGTTTAGTACGGTGGTGTCCGGACTGCCTCACGCACGGTGCACCAGCTCATACTGCGGAATGGTGAGCGGCACCGCCGAGCCAGTGAGGGGTGGGTGAGGAGTGAGACGGATGGATGGGGAGCTGTCTGAGTCTGACTATAGTGATCTTGGTTCGGCTCAGCGGTAGGTTGCTTGAACCCCAGACACGTAATCCTGTCTCCTGTAGGCTGCCTGCTTTGAATTCGTCACTCCAGCCAATCAATTTCAGAGCGGTGCCACAATCTATTTGATGACGAGTTACATTATGTGTGGTGGTGACAGGTGAGACTACCAAGGATGTGATGTGGTGTCGTGACTCGTGGACTCAAAATTACTTTTGCTGTTTCAGGAAACGGTGACGATGAGGTCGTTTGAGATGGAGCTCGACCCGGCTGACTATGAGGCCGGCCTGCGTGAAATTGTGGCCGCCCTCCGTCCCGACTGGAACCTGGACAACCTGCGTCTGAAGGTGAGTCACGGCAGCTGGAGCCCGGATCAACTCACTATACTAAACACTATATCAACTCCTTTTGAAGGTAATTAACGTTGGTCAAAGCCTAGACAACATTGGTCTGAAGGTAAGTTACAGAATATCTGGCCAATTTCCGTCTGAAATTGAACAACGGCAGTTGGAGCTTAGACGGTCTCCGTATGAGGCCCGAGGCTGTTTTTTTCGCGACTGACCTAACTAAACACCTAAACCTAAACATAATATAATACAACTTTATACAATGCAGTGACGAGTTACATCCAGGCTCCACGAAGCCGTGACCCGTATGTCTCATCTCTCATCTCATATATTTAACACATTCATTCGAAACAGACAATCAGTGTCGCCTCGATTGGCGCAAAAGTGCCGGAGCACTTAACTCGGGGCGCCTCTCGAGTCCGCACAATCACACTGGGTGCCGCCCACAGCCTCGCAGCCACTGCCCGCCACCGCGCAGACCGCTCTCAATAGATGTAAAGGCGCCGGCGCCGAGGGCAGCGCTCTGTGACGACCGGTGTCAAAGGACTGGGCGCTAGGGATAGGTGGCAGGATGGGAAGGAGAGGCAAAACGTTTGGTGGCATGGATGAATTGGTACACCGCTCGTGCTACCTCGAATTCGTCCCCGGGTCGTACCGTATTACCGTGTAGTATGAAGTCTAGTTGTTCCTTTTGTGATAAATTGTGTATGTCAATGCCTGTTATACCATTTATTATGTTTGTCATTCTCTCTCTTTCTTGTGTGTACTTTGGACATTTTAGTAAGTAATGTCCTGTGTTCTCGTTAGTTCTGCCTTGACAGTGGTTGCAATATGGAGATTCAGTTTTTTGTATTTGAAATAAATGGGATTTTAACTCTGACATCCCAACCCTTAGACGTGTTAGAAGTGTATTTTCCATTTTCGAACCATAAATATAATACTTTGGTGGTTTTTCTATATGTAAGTGAGACTTGAGATGTTTTTTAAATGAAAATAAAGTTCTAGTCTCTCTCAAGTTCTGTGGCAGTTCATTTATTACTTTAATTGTACTGGGAAGAAACGAGTTTTTCAGTAGACAGGTTTTGGGATATATTTCCCTTCTGTTATTAGAGTTGCGAAGAAGTCGGTTGTTATTTCTTCGATCAGGGGGCAATAGTTGTTTGATATATGTTGGAGTATCGTCGAGCGTCAGTCGTTGGAAAAACACTATCTTATGCATTTCACGTCTTTTCTTTAATGAAGTCCATCCTAGTTCTCGTCTGAGATTGTCTGTCGGAGTTCTAAATAATGTCGCAGTCACAAGTCTGGCCCCTCTGTTCTGAAGTGTTTCAAGTCGTAAAATATCGTGTGCTGTTAGCAGTCCGTCGTAAATGATGTCCGCGTAGTCAAAATATGGCAATACATGTGTCGTATATATTTGTTGCAATAAGGTCCTGGGCAAGTAGGAAGCGATACGATAGAGTGGGCTAAGGGCAATGTTGACTTTTCTGATGATGTCGTTGATGTGCTCGTGAAACCTAAGGTCGTTCGATATTGTCAATCCCAGGTGTTTATGATTAGCAACAACTGGGATGGGCATGGCTGCAAATGTTAGTTTTGGTGGGATTTTCTGTTTGCGTTTTGTGAAATGCTGTTGGAGAGTTTTCCTTGGGTTAAATTGTATCATCCAGTTGTCACCGTACTTGTGGATTTCATTTAGATCTCTTTGAAGTGAGCTTTCAACTGTTTCTCTATTATTAGGAGAGTGTGGGGCTATCAGACAAGCATCGTCGGCGAAGAATAGCATTTCATTTTCGGTTTTTGTTGAAAGGTTATTTAAGTACATTAACGCTAAAAGGGGGCCCAAAACTGAACCCTGAGGGCATCCCGCTTGAAGTGGTCGGAGCGAAGATGTGGAATTGTTTATTACTACGCGTTGATGTCGATTTGTTAAGTATGAAGTTAGCCATGGTATAAGGTTTGCCAGACCGAATTCATGTTCACATTTGTGGAGAAGGCCCTTGTGCCAAATTTTCTCGAAATAGCGGCTGATGTCCAGATAGATAATGTTATGGTCCTTCCCGTCGTCAAGGTTTTCATATAACGAATGGGTTAAGTAGAAAAGCTGCAACTACTGCAATGTGATAAGATCCATTTGAATATGGGTCATTCAGTCGGTCCATGTGTTTTCCGTCAGTGCCGGTCCGTTTCAGATTCTGTCCCTGACCCTGTTTTGTATAGTGGGTACGCTGTCGCTGATGTGCGTGTGTTTATTCTGACGTGCCTGTGCGTCTCCATGTATTTATTTCGACATGCGTGTGCGTCTCCATGTATTTATTCCGACATGCGCGGCGTGTCCGTGCCGGCAGCCGTTCGCCGGTCTCACCAACACTCTGGTGAGCTGCTGTCACGCCGGCGACCAGGAGTCCACGCTGCTGTTCCGACTCTATGGAGACGGCACCGATCGGTTCATCGATCGGGACGCAGAGAAGCGCAACATGCAGGTCAGCAGGAGAGCGCTGGGGCCATTGTGGTGAGCCGGAATCATTAGTTAGTCACTGTAGTCACTGAGAGAGTCAACTGGATCACTGAGGAAGTGACCGGGGTCACTGAGAAGTCCCTGAAGCTACTGAGTGGAGCACTATGTAAGTCGCTGGCCGTCGAAAGCTATCCTAAGCCTACCTTTTCAACAACCCAAGGCTATTACGTCACTATCTTTGCGACCGATATCGGCCTGCAGCATCTATTGGTTTGCTCTACGTGGCCACAAGTGATGGCTTAAGATCAATTGGTTCTAATCCGATAATGCATCGTAAATAAACATCACTCGTCCATTGCATGGTGACTTGGCTGATAAGCACATCCTGACTGTTGCTGTCTGGTTCGTGGCAGTGGGTTCATTTAAAGCTAATTTTAGCAACGAATGTGATTTTTGAGATCGCCACGTGAACATTATCAGGGTCCACCGGGTCCCATCATTTCAACGTCTGGCACTTGGCTGTCTGCTGTTTATCATTAACATGCGACCTGTGTGAACCTGATCTGGACTAACCGGTGAGCCGGTTTCCACTCCCCTCCCCCTCCCCTCCCACTCCCCTCCCCCCCCCTGACATCCCTATCCGACGGTCGTCAGATGATGCACCGGGCCGGCTGCGCGCGTCCTCTAGTGGCCACCTTCTCCAACGGAATCGTGTACGGCTTCGAGCCCGGTCACACCGTCACCAAGCTCTCCGTACGAGCGCCGGATGTGTTCCCTATGGTTGCCGCCGCCCTGGCGCGCGTACACCGGATCACGCCGCTGGGACCGGACGCCGGCGACGGCAGCAACCCAGGCCGGTCCTGTCTCTGGGCCTCGCTGGACAAGATGATGGCCCTGGCGCCCACACAGTTTGATGATCCCCGACAGCAGAAGAGGTGAATATTGGGGAGAGGTCGGAGGAAAGGTTGGGGTGGGATGTGAGCTAAGGCGTGATGAAAACCAGTAGGCTGTAGGGTTGTGCTTGGTGCTATGCGGGACTGGTGAGAAGTATCAGCTAATGGACAATTTTGTTGTTTTTTACGTCCACTTTCTCGAACGATATGTTTCTGAAATGACATTTCTCTGCCAAGCGAGCGACATTTACAAATGTTTCCCTTCTGAACGGCTGTTTCCCCACGACTGTAGTGTGCCCGTGTGTCCCTTACTGACCCGTGGTCGGTGTCTCGCCCCTAGGTTCGTCTCGGAGCTGCGGTCGGCCGCCCAGCTCCGAACCGAGCTCCGCCAGCTGCGGGAGGAGCTGGAGGAGCTCGGCTCTCCCCTGGTGTTCTGCCACAACGACCTCCTGCTGGACAACATCATCGTGGCGGCCGGCGGGCGCGGCGTGAAGTTCATCGACTTCGAGTACGGCGGCGTCAACCACCAGGCGTTCGACATCGGCAACCACTTCAATGAGTTCGCTGGTGAGCCGCCGGCGGGAGGACGTGGGTCTAGTAACAGGATTTAATACATACTTTACGGTGCGTTCACTGGAGATTAACCGTGCGTTAATTCGAAGGTAGCCGTGCACCAATTTAAATTGGTGCACGCTCGTGCAGTGATGAATTTCTCGACTGAAGTTTTACTCGTGCATTAACACACTCGTGCTCCAATCCATCCACGTTGTGCGTTAAAACCATTTACACACGGGAAACCATGTGTTAATATATAATAATTTTTTCTTTTTTAATATGGCATGATGAATGGGAGCATGAGGGATATGCTGCAGACTCAGATGGCGAGATGGTGGCAGTTTGATACGCAAGCGTGTGCTGATAAAGCAGTATTCAAAGAGAGTGACGGTTAAATCGTCAGTCTTTTATAGAACGTGTCGTGTTTCTTAGCGCTAAACATTTCAGTGCTGAATGAGCTCTCACCTGGGAGCTATCATTCATTTTTGTGTTTCTTGGTAAATAAAGGACGCAGTGAGTTTCCTCCTGATCAAGCCTTAGACTGGAACACGTCTCAAGAGAGTGAGTTCCAACTAAATTGACCCGACCCCCCTACAGGCACTGAGGACTTGTAACTACCACAGCCTTTGATCTCGGATCAGGAGTGTTAGCTGATCTGACCCGACAGGTCCCTCCCCAGGCACTGAGGACGTCGACTACAGCCTATTCCCGGACCGGGAGTTTCAGCTGCGCTGGCTGCGGTGCTACCTCGCCACCTACCTCTCTCTGAAGCCTGGAGAGTCGCCTCAGCCAACTGTGGAGACAGTGGAGCCCACTGATCTGCAGGTGGAGACGCTATACGTGCAGGTCAGTACCGTTACCTGAAAGTGTGATGAATGGTTTGGGTGCATAAGGAAACGCTCTGCCCTACCCATGGATCAGCTAAGGTGCCATGATATGGAATATGGATGTATCGGGGATGGCTGTCTTCGAAACGCTCGAACCAAGGTCAGGAATAAATTTCGATTACAATGTTAGCGAATTAAACAAATCTGGCTTGGTGTCTCAAAAAAGCAGAACCACATTTATTTTGGACTTTCCTGCTTATATCAGCCAGGGTTTTACAACGCATGAAGCACTTCAGTACGTATGACATTGTCGTGCACTGTTTCAGGCCAACAAGTTTTCGTTGTTGTCGCACTTCTACTGGGGCGTCTGGGCGCTGGTGCAGACCCGTTTCTCAAACATCGACTTCGACTACCTCGAGTGAGTATGCCCTCTCTGGGGCTCTGGTATCGAGAGACTTTCTGAGGTACGGTGTTCTAGGATATTAATAAAGCTCTGATCATTGCTCAAGTGTACCAACCTTGCAAACGTGAAGTTTATCTCTTGAATTGCATATTCACAGACGTCTTGTTTTGCTTCTGCGTCGTGGCTAACCCTTGTCTTGCTTCTTCAACGTCTTTGCGTCTTTCTTTGAATCAACGAAGAGTTTTGTTTAAAAAGTTTTAGTGCACCAATGGGCAATGTCCATAATCCCTAGCAGGTGGTCTCCTAACTTGACCACTCCGTGTCGTCCCCCCATCAGCCGCCATCTTTGGTCCAATGACGTCATCATGTTGTGGCCAGGTACGCCATCACCCGGTTCTCCGAGTACGACCGGCGCCGGGAGCAGCTGAGGTCGCTGGTCTTGCCGGTGGGGAACGGAGTAAAACAGTCGTGAGCAGGCTCTCCGCCCCGGTACAGTGGGAACTGGAACCGGAGGATAAGCTGGGTGTAGGATAAGCTGGGTGTGAGTACTGTGCAGCGCGCGTGCCTCCGCGGACAGACAGCATGATCCCGGTGCCCATGCAGCAGTGGTGTCAATGGTACGCGGACCACAGGTGGTTCTACTCCGCTCTGGAGATTGGCCGAGTCGCCATTTTGCCGTTCGAGGCCAGTATCGAGATACACCGGGTCTGCTAGCAGATCAGACTACATACATCAGTCGTCTTTTGGGCAGTTGTATTATGCAGGGGCCCGGTGTTTGGACCAATCACAACTCGTTCGATTCGTGATAAATACCTTTTAGCTTGAGTTGTGCTATCCTAGGATGCGCTGTATCGACGAGTGTTTTATGTTGTGAGACCAATTTTATTCGCCTTCGGTTGTTTTACCGTGCCCTGGGGTACTTCTATTGGACCTAGGGACCTGCAATACACACCAGGGCATTGTGACTCTTGTCTGGCCCTGCTGATCTGATTTTCATGCATGATGGCAGACCGTTATCGAGCTCTGATCCGCATATGATTGCATGATAGGAGTGCAATATTTGGTGCAGAATTATTATGGGGCATGCCTTTGGCGTTTGTTGGTTCATCGCCTCTTAGTTTGTTGACGGCAATTGTACGATAGGCTGCTAACTCGAACGAGCCCAGACCCTGATTTGTCACATAATGTTGGAGCCTGGAGGGACATGATTCTGCTCAGGTGTCAGCTGCCAAAATACAGCATAATTGCTTCAGTACAACCTGGCCTGCGAAGTTATCTTGGGCGACATATCTTGTATAACTAAGTCGGGCTTTTATTCATATTAGCGTGCTTTCTTGTGCATTTTTAATTACTTTTATTAAAAGAGAGTGTCACATGAAATGATTTTGACCACGATCTTCACTACTGTCAAATAATACTATTTCAAATATGAGTTACATTATCTTGAATTGATTTAAAGTGTCCTGAACAACTGACGGCCAAAACCTCTGTGGGAATCTGCGTTTTAATGTGTGCCTCCATTTTTCGTTGGCCGTTGCTAAGATGCTACCTGTGGGGCGTGTGTTGTGTGGCTATTGATATTACTCAGCGTAGTTTTAGCTGAAGTGGACGGCTGGGGCTCAACCATTCCAGTGGAATTCGGCACTCGTGTGATTGACTGTATTGTGGAATGCACCCAGTGACCAGACCAGGGACTCATTCGTGATCCGATATTCTTGTATCAATACAAGGTAATGATCGACAAGTGGTTATTATCATCTGGTTGTTACTGATCATCAAGGTATCACCGGCATTCCCCCTTCCTATCAGCACACCTCGTGGCTCTATCGTCTATTGATTTCATATCACGTGACGTCATTCTTCACCGTGACGTCACCTACAGCATCTCTCCGGTCAGAGGACGCCCGCCTCCTCCATCTCGTCCAGCAGCTCGAGCAGCAGCGTCTCCAGCTGCGTGTCTGAGGTGGGCACAGACATCGCCGCCACCAGTCGGTCCACCAGCTCCTGGGGTGTGGCGCCCTCCGGTGCTCCACTCGTAGCGTCTGCCGAGGAGAGGGAAGGGGTTACTGAGGGTGGGGCAGCGGTCGGTTCCTAACAGAGTTGAGGGGAGACTGAGTGGTGCGTACTACAGCATACCAGACTAGACAGCTGGAGCCTGGGTGAAAAATGCAAACATTGGCGAAGTCTAAAATACGACGTCGGAGAGAATTGTATGCTGGTTGCCTAAGCGGACCTTGCAGTGTATCATTTGCAAAGTGGCTCAGGAGCACTGCATTGCACTCATTGCACTCATTGCACTCATTGCACTGCACTGCAATGAGAAAATCGTGAGAGCTTAACAGGCCAATTGGACTTCGACTTACCGGCATCAGCGAGCGGCAGCACCACGTCGAAGATGACCCTGATGAGGGCGGCCTTCATGGAGCTCCGGTAGTCGTCCCGCAGCCGCTCCCAGCTGCCAAGGCCCAGCTGGTCGGCGCTGAGGCCGGCTGCCTCCAGCGCCGCCGCCAGTCGGCCGTGGAAGTGACGCAGCACGCCCTCTGTGTGCCGCCGCCGGAACTGCCGGTCCGTGTTGTTCACCAGAACGGAGAACAGATCCACCAGGAAGTTACCGAAGTGGCAGTGCTGCCAGTCGAGCAGCATGACGGCGTCAGGCGCGCTGTCGTTCTCAGACGGGTAGCGGAACATCATGTTGAGCTTCCAGAGGTCTCCGTGGCAGATGGAGCGGAGCCGCCCGCCCGCGTGCATCCCCTCCACCATCAGTTCCCGTGCAGAATCCAGCAGCGTCTCCAGCTTGGCGGCTGCGGCGCGCCGCTCCGGGTAGTGGCGCAGGAAGCCGATGTAGCCCAGGAGGCCTGCGCGGATCAGGTCGACCTCCATCCGCGGCCCGGCCCACATGGAGCCGATGTTGAGCAGTGGATGACGCAGCAGATCGGCCGGCGGACCGCCGCGCTGCTGAACCACCAGTCCGGCGGCCACCACCTCAGCCAGAGCGGACACCACCAGTAGCACATGGTGCTCGTCCAGCCGACTGGTCGCCGCCGGCATACGGTATCCCAGCGCGCGCAGGTCATCCATGGCCATGACGACACCCCCTCGGCCGTCCGTAGCTCCGTGGTAGTAGCGCGGCACTGCCAGTTCCCGACCCAGTGCAGACTCCAGCGCCGGCGCCAGCCGATCGTAAAACAGAATCTCACGCTCGTAACAGCGCGTGGCGAAGCAGAAGAAGCGGCCGAACGGGTCGTCGTGCGGGAGTTTGACGATTAGCCTCCTGTCGTCCTCTTTCCGCTCTCCGTCAGCGGGATCAGCGTGTCGGGTGACGTGCACGGCGTACACAGCAGTGGCGTAGTTTGTCCCCGGCTCGGCACCGGCAGTCACTGAGAACTGCAACTTACCGGGGGTGGACGGGCCCGAGCGCCGGCTCAGCACAAACTCCAGCCATTCGACGGTGATGTCCTCTCGACCGGCGGGAATCAGAAGAGCCAGCGTGCCGTCTGGATCAGCAGGATCGGGGCGGTCTCTTGTAGTAAGGTCGGTGACCGTGTCACTAGAGTCAGGGAGACCCATGGTGGGTGAGATGATTTTACGGGATGTGATCGGGGCTCACTCAGTAGCTGGAGCGGACAAAAATGGCTAACAACCTCCAACGAGACAGTACCAACGGAGGACTGTGGGGTGAAATGAGCAGCTGGAGGAGTGAAGTCGGACCCCCTAATCTGATTGACGTCACGAAGGGGCAGGCGGCACAGCTGGGCAGGTGGTTGGTCAGGGGCGGACCCAGCGAGGCACCAAGAGGACCCCGGACAGCACATCCCAAGCTGGGTGATGAACAACGCTAGCCGTTCTTCCCATCCGACCGTTCTCCACCACCGTCACACAAGACCGTCCTTCCACTGCGTGGATGGATAACAACTGTTACGACTGGTACTTATATCATTCGCCGTAACAAAAGTGCTAGTTGCTACCACTGCCGCCTCTGAGTGATAGCCTTTCATTACTGTGATTACCCCGGACCAAGTGGCTCGATGTGAACGTAATCATTCAGATGCTCGTGAGCAGCGCCCCCCTCGTTTGACGGCTCCGACAGCTGCTTCGGGCGCACGCATCGAAATGCACCGAAACCCTAACGGTATATGTGGTGTTAAGTGATAAATCAATGCAAAGCTTCCACAAAAAAACACAACACATTTCATGGTTTTAAAATAAATTTATTGGTACGAAGGATCCATGGAAATATCAAAACATCTCAGCATCTCGCCGCAGTTGTGACAAAGCGCCGCATACGACTAAACGGTAGTTTTGGATATATACGGAGGATACTGATTACACAATGCCACATGCGCGTCGGTCGTGCGCGGTGCGGAGACAGCGGCTGACTCGTGCTCCCGGTTCTCTGCCTTCCTCCCTTCCTTCCTCTCTCTCTGTAGCTCGCCGGACTTGGAACAGGTCACAGCGGCACTGCGTGTAGCTGCAGCGCCTAAGCAGCGGACAGACAGCGCGAGCGAGCGGGCGGGGCGGGCAGCGCGCGAGCCACTAGCGCGGGTACAGATACACGCGGTACGGGGCTGGAAGCGGCGGCCGCCGCGCGCACTCGCCGAATTATTGAATCAGAGCGCGGCCCCGGGCGGCGGCGGTGAAGGCGGCCGAGCGAGCCACGCACACAGCAGCGCCTACAACAGCCTACAGTGGTTCTTCTTCTTCTTCTTAACCTGCAACGACAACGGCGGCCGGTCAGTGAGTGGCCAAAGAGGTACCAGCATTCTGATCACACGGAAGAATGTCGGCGGTGTATCATACAACCGAGTCAATCCAAGCAATTTGAAAAGACAAAGTGCTATCAAAATTTCTGGATGAAAATAATGAACTGACGTGTCACGAAGAAAGCCAAACAATGTGAGCAATGAGCGTTCCCTACAACGTTACTCAGCATAATACACGCTCAAATACGAATTAGGGTGTGTTAACCCGCGCCCCGTAGGGCTACCGGCGGACCCTACCACCCGTAGGGGGGGGGGGGGCGTTTCGGCCCCCCTAAGATCTCGGAAATTTACCGGCCGATTTTCAAAATTCAAACGGCGTTCGATAGCCCCACCCGGGAACTACCTTGTGACCAATTTCATTGACCTAGGTCAAACCGATGACGTCACAGGTCAGGTCAAAGGTCAGATTTTCACCGTTCACAGGCATTTCAAGAAATGTGTTGTGAAATCGAGTAAATTGGTAATTTATTGAAAACCATCGATGGTACATTGTTCGTCAAACACATACTTTGCTATCTGAGGTCACTGATACCAGGTCAGGTCACAGCGAGGTCAGGTCACCGGGGGTCACAATATGAAAGTGTCGTGTGCGGTGTGATACATGTTTTATGGTCCATTTTACATGACAAATGCGATTATGTGGGTTAGGCAGCCTTTGGGGCCAGCCTAGGTCACGTTTTGGTGAAGGTCAGGTCAAGGTCAGGTCAAATTAGGTCAAATTTCAAAGTTGATATTTTTGCATAAAATGGGTATCCATTCGATGCAGCTCGTCACGGGGAGTCTAATGGTGGTCTTTGTTTTGCTCTACGATGTCTAGAATTGCCAAAAATTGAGTTTGAAAATTTGACGTCATCATTTTTGAACAGCTTTTCGCTATAACTTGGCCAAAAAAACGAGGTATCGATCTGAAATTTGGTATGTAGATAGAAGACGGTAGGTACTATCACATATATTCCAGTTTTTTCGAAACTCAAATTTTTTTTTTGGATTTTTCGGCTAATATATTCAAAAAAATGCTTTTATGATTTTTGGGGGTCAAAACTCAAAAATTTCAAAAATCCGAGATAGCAGTTTTGTAGCCCTGTCAATTCTACACCTTTTCTGTCTTGATCGTTTTTCTGTATCTTCAAAGCTGTAGGCCTGACAGGTCTTCTTGCAAATGTCTTTTTTCGGTCGAAAATGACAAAACATGACGTCATTCTGACGTCATTTGTGGCCAACCTACCGTAGCCTCTGAAATAATTTTTGGTCACAATGTGTAAAATTGATGCCCGGAGGGGTCCTGAAAGTTTGGTGGCGATATCTCCAGCCGTTTACGAGATATCGACCGAAAAGGACAGGGGGGGCCGTTTCGCCCCCCCCCCCCTACGGGGCGCGGGTTAAGATCCTGGAACCACCCCGACCCGTGAGATTCTGACCTGCAAGGCAGCTCTGGTGGCTGTCTCAAACACCTCTCGCACGCCCTCCTTGCTCTTGGCCGAGCACTCGAGGTAGGCGAAGGCGCTGATCTTTTCGGCCATGGTGCGGCCGTCCTCCGACTTCACCGGCTCCTGCTTCATCTTGCTCAGCTCCTTGATGGTGTTGGGGTCGTTTCGCAGGTCCTGCCGGCCAGCGCACACACGTCAGATCAGGTTAACGGGGAGTTCGCCGGAGAATATGTAATCAGCGGGGCGGGAAACATTCCACCGTGACTGTGACTGACCTGGCAAGAGCGACAACAAAAAAGATTAAAAATTCATATTCAGAAATTAATAAGTACCTATGATTTATGCAGATGACAGGCTTCATTCCCTTTTTACGCTTCCGAATCGGTACGCGAGAGAAACTGAAAAATATGCACTGAAACTTCATGACTTTCAGCGAAAGATTTTTCCATAATTTCAATAGGCGATCGTATTGGTGAGTTTTCCATAAGGGTAAACATGTGGTGCCTGCTTCAACACACATTGAGTATTGACCATTCGTATCAAATCTCGTTCGCGTTCCCACCTTTTTGTTTCCGACCAGAATGATGGGCACATTTGGGCAGAAGTGTTTGACTTCTGGTGTCCACTTTTCGGGTATGTTCTCCAGCGAGTCGGGCGAGTCGATGGAGAAACACATCAGGATGACGTCCGTGTCCGGGTAGGAGAGCGGCCGCAGCCGGTCGTAATCCTCCTGTCCGGCCGTGTCCCACAGCGCCAGCTCCACCTGGTGGCGACACGGAGAACTGGCGTCACGGGCGGTCCGCGGTACACACAGCGACGGTCACGGTCGGTGGTCCACGGTAGATACATAGCACCAGTCACAGAGCTTGAACGTAACCATACGTCCCGGGAGCAACCGAGGGGCATCCGACCGTCCTGGGCGATACTCGCTACCTACGTCAGAGACACGGACAGCTGGGAGAGTAAGGCAGGAGACACAAAACCCCCCTCCGGATAAAGCCAATGACACCGGGTCCCAGAGCACGCACCTGTTTACTGTCCACCTCGATGTCGGCCACATAGTTTTCGAACACGGTCGGCACGTACACCTCGGGGAACTGGTCCTTGCTGAAGACGATCAACAGACATGTCTTTCCGCAGGCACCGTCGCCGACGATCACGAGCTTCTTACGAATGGCGGCCATCGCCTACAGCAGGAGGCTGCCCGGGCGCCAGGTGCGTGCCAGCCTGTTGAACAATCAGTACCATTAGACCATGTTCCTACAATTAGACCAAACTGTTGTTGAACATCCATGTTCCAGATTAGACCATGTTCCATGTTCCTGTAGCAGGCACTGATGCAAAACTTCCATGCTGGTGTTGGGGTATAGGTATCATCATCACTGCACCTTTTAAGTGAATATCATTAATTAATTCATACTTGTTCCAAACAGCACCTCATTAAAAACGTTTACCGACGCCCGACAGTAGGTAATCAAATCAAAGGTCACAAAAAAATTCCTTGAAAAGTTGCATAATCACTCTGATCCATCCTACTGCGCCATTTTAGTTAGCACCTATAAGTACCTGTGCTTCTGCTTCAAATACGTCCTACTGACCCACTGTTTTCTTTGACATCTTCAGCTAGATGTAACATGACCTCATGTGAAGGTACCAAAGAGTGGAATGACTCAGCTAGGTTTTGATTTAGGCTAAGGCAAGGTTTGGCTAGGTTTTAGTTCAGGTCAGGTTAGATCAGGTTAAGTTAGGTAGGGTTAGGTTAGATTTAGTACAAATTACATTAGTTGTTTCATGTTTGTCCACACTAGAATCTTAGAACACATGTGATTGGCTGTAAAGCTATTGGCTAGTGATACTATTTTATATTCAGTTTGTTTTTAGATAAAGTAGTCACGTAGTGAGCAATCTTCATTCACTGTTTATGCCTCCTTAGTTTGTAAGCATGACTGCCAATTTTGCTAAATATGGAAACTAATTACTAGTGTATATCAGCATATCACTGGAGATTAGCATAGTTCACACAAATTCAACCAATGTAAAGATTGAAAAGGAACTGCAGCATGCTGATAAAAGAATATTGATAAGCAACAGCACTGAATCATTTATGGAGCAACAATGCACCTGTAATTTCACTAGAACAGTGTCTGTTTTCCATCAATAATCAATGCAATATGCATCACTTTTTGTGGTATTTGAGCTTCTTCAATCAGTACCTAGGTAATTAATAATTATGCATGCTTTTTCTAGTAACTGGCCATATAAGACACAGCTTTGAGCTTTTTACTCCTCAAAGGGGCTGTATTAGTGATTGCACCTCATAAGCTACATTCCAGGTAGGTATGCAATGAGATATGCAGCAGTTATCAGTATGCACAGTGCTTCAAACAATGCTTTTGCTATAAGTTGTTTGCCAACAATGCACTCTGGATTTAGAACAAATAGGTACCACATCAGTAAACTACTGCAAAATCATATCCCTGTTCCTCTGTACAAAACCAATCTACTTTATTGAGAGCATGCAGCCTGTTTCACTGTGAAATATTTTGAAATATTATTCCACGATGCTTGCACAATAGGCAATAGGCATCATTGCGCAAAACAAGGGGCACAGCTTCCAGAGTAAGATGTCACAGCAGAACATTTTGCCACAAAATGGCATGATGTATTTTTGTGATTCTGATTGTTTTGCTACTCAATATGGTGCACCAAGCCATTGAACTGTGGCATGTTTCTTCCTTGAGCAGATGTAATGGAAGATGCAATAATGTGAAAAAGGCAAGATGCCACCGCACGGACACACAATACATTTAAGAAACCAATCGCTGTGCTGAATAATGTATTGTAGTGGTATTTGTGTGAAATCATTCCCCATTGATGATAATCAAATATATATTGCTGCTCTGCAGAATACTCTGCACTCAGTAGGGTGGACTGTGAAAACAGGGCACCTGGAGGCTGGAGCAATTTGATCAAGGCTTCATTCCTTCAAGGATTCAAGGCTCATGAAATTCCCTGGCACAAAGCATGTGATTATTAGCCTGTGGAAGGCACGGGAAGGAGGGGAATTTCTTAGTCATCATGTGACTAGACATCCCCTTGGGCGCACTGTTTTCACTATCCACCCTCTGTAGGGGCATTTCACAGAATATCCTGCCATCACCATTTATGGTCTGTGACATCACCAAGATGGTGATGTCAGAGCTGTCTGCCAGGGTGGTGTTTCACTGTCACTGCCAGCGCATTTCGCTAGCTGACGTCACACTTGTGGTACCTAAGGCCTGGTCGGAATCGGCTGACAGAACTTTGTCAGCCGAGAATAAGCCCCGCCCACACCGCGCTGCTGATGGGCTTGTTCATAATCGGCTGACAGGAAACGTCAGCCAGAGATGGCGCTCGACAGATAGGGTTGAGACTTGAGGAGAGGTAGCATTTTCGCGCTTTTTTCAACGACAATCTTCCGTTACATAATATTTCTGAGGTTTATTTGCAGAGGCTATAGAAAAAAATTGCAGGATTGATAATTGAAGCGGTGCTGGCATTTCGATTTGCAGGTACTGTTTTCAGGCTGACTCGCACATTGCGCCATGAAAAAGAAATAATTACTATCTTTTGCGAAAAATATTAAATACAAAATACGTCAAAAACATCGTATATAAAAACTAACCATCTGCACTATAAAGCTGCGCTTTGACTTACATGCGCCACTTTCGAGCCACTTTGAATTTCGGCTGACGTGCTGCTGCCCTCTCCCAGCAGCCGAAAAGCCGGCTGTCAGCAGTGGTATGACGTCACAGTGCGGGAAGGTGTGATACGTCATCAATACCTCAACCAATCAGGGGCTTGGATCTCAGCTGACAACAGCACAGCAGCCGATTCCGACCAGGCCTCTCGTGTTGGAGCTATGGGCTTGTTGATGTTTCCATGGAAACCCAAATTGCCAAGTGTGCTGGCTGGCAGCATCAGTGAAACACCACCCAGCTGTGAAACAGGATCATGATATTAAGACCTAGTTTCGCCAATGCTCCGACGATCTCAGTGTGGAATTATACCTACATGAAACCTATGACAATGAATCATCCATCTCAGAAGAGGCGAAAACGGCGCAACAAAAATAGGCGACCACCATAAACCGGAAGAATTCCGACACCGTCAAAACGTGTCTCATACAACGTTTTCATTTGATGTGATAAATTCAAACTCACCAGTTTCTATGAAGACCCGATAGAAACAAAAAAAATATCGGCAATCCCACTCCCAAACAGTTCACAAAAGCCACACCTCAACAATCAAGGCTCATTTTCCGTTACCATTAGGTATGTGCCAAAAGCATTAAAAGCCAGTGACGTCATTACACAAGTGACGTCAATTGAAAAACTCAGTCGAGAAAACTCGACAAAATCATGTAGTTATGATTTGCTTCATATATTTTCTTGGCTTTTCTCTAGCTACTGTGCCTTATTCTCCCTGACACAAGAAGTCTTAAGATACAAAGTTCATTTAATTTTTCAATGAATTACGTCATATACGGTGTCACCATTTAAAAGGCTGAAAAATCATTACATCATAAGATCTGTGGGCTCGTCACAAGTTTGATAAAAGTTTGGAATCAAGAGTTCTAGTTTGCAGAGTCCCTAGCGGCGTTATGCGGAACTAGGTGATAATTTGTTCAAAATCCCTTGCATTTATATATATTTAGAATCACAATGGCTTTATTGTTTATGTACAAAAAATGTTTAACTTTCTTTTTTAATCAAATGAAACTGCGATCTCGTACCAACCTAAACTAGTAAAATAAATCGCGGACGCATGGGGAAAGAAAGATCCAGCGGGCTTGATCTAGCGTGAATCTAGACCGTGGGAGGAGAGGGGGTGGGGTGAGAACTCAATATACCCTGGGGTGGACTTGGACTTGGAGAAGCGTGCGTGCCGCGTGCCGAGCAAGGCTATAGAACTCCGAAAACTCCGAACTCCTATAGTGATAGGCGCCGAGCGTGCCGTTTATCTTGGAAGCGTGGGAAAATGCAAGAAGCATGAGGATTGTGGAGTTGTTCTGTTTGTTTTGTCCTTTTGTCTTTGGGCCTGTTCCAGCGCCTCCAGAAGAAATTCTTGACTGGAGGCTCTACCAGAGGTTTTACTGGAGGCGCTGGAACGCAATCTGGAGATTTCTGGAGATTGGCGTCATAGATACCAAAAGAATGACGATTGTTCTCTCTTGAAACGCAAAATTTGTTTTCAATTTTAGTTAAAAAGATAAATAAAATTATAGCAATGTAATTTTCTTTACATTCAAGTTGTAAAATAATCAGTCAGATGTCCTTTGTTTACATTCGTGATTGTCACATGTGCGCCATAATTGTAGACCAGAGCCTCCAGAGAAATTTGGACCTCTCAACTCTCTGGAGGCTACTGGAGGTTTCTGGAGCTTTGGCGAGAGCTTTCTGGAGCTTTCTGGAGGCGCTGGAACGCTCTCTGGAGGATTCTAGAGCTTTCTGGAGGTTTCTGGAGGTTTCTGGAGGCGCTGGAACAGGCCCTTTGTCATATAGGAAAAATAGGAAGTGTCATATAGTGTTTACGTAAACCAAAACTGTTGTTACGGGGTCCGGGGTCGTCGCGCGTGATGACTAGTGACGGCTAACTCAAGGCTGACTGCAAGTTGCCTTCTGGTCAAGACGGCGTTTACATTTTGTTAGGATTAAGTAAAGGCAGAGGCCAAGGCTGTAACATAAAGGCGAGGTGTTTGAGTCGAATGAGATGCCGCTTTCAGTGGAGGAAGCGGTTTCGTCGCCTGCCTTCAAGACCCAAGGATTTGTGAATGTTATAGGCACTAAAATTGACGATGAACTGAGGTTACGTGTAAACTTGTTTGAAAGGGAGGACTTTGAGAAGTGGAAAGTAATCTTCTCAGAGCTAACATGCTCAAGCTTGAATTGTGAGAAGCTATTGCCTGCTGGAAAAGGTCGCAAAGTAGTGTTTGGGCAGCGCCTGATATGCCAGCATGGCAGGAGACACAAAGGCATTAAGAAGACATATACAGGGTGAGTACAAAGGCAAACTGTTCATGTTAAAGCAGATTTTAGGCTTTGTGAAGGTATCAAAATCAAAATGACAGAAGACCAAGGGGTAGTCGTAAAGCAGGCGTCACACTTCTTTTTCCAACCAAGGAGAGGCGCTGTAGGTTAGGTTGTAGGTTTTAGGTGGTAGGCTTTAGGTTTTAGGTTGTATGTTTTAGGTTTGTAGGTTGTAGGTAAGGTTAGGTCAGGTTTGGTTAGGTTTGGTTATGTTTGGTTTGGTTTAGTTCAATTAGAAAGCATCTCTGGGTATACCGCCTCTCCTTGGTTGCAAAAAGAAGTGTGACGCCTGCTTTACGACTACCGACCAAGGCAGGTTATCAGGCATATTCTGGACTTGAGGCAGATGCCATTGATGTCACCAGTGCCAGTGGTAGGTAAAAAAACTCCTAGTAGGTTAACCCGCTTCCCGCTGGGGATCCTGGATTTCCACACCCTGCTTGTTGGGGGGGGGGGGGATGTTTGGACAGTGGACACCCCCTGCTAACTCAGCTCCTGGGCCACGTAGTGATACGGGAACGGTGGCGTATGAAAGAGTGTAAAATAAGGAAGAAATCACTTCAGTCACTTTTTTCGTCAGGTCAAAGATCAGGCCACCAGGGTTCATTGAAGGCCAAAATTTGTTGATTTGTAGGTTAGATGTCGACAAATTTCAACAAATCGATGCACAGCTCGAAAACTAATAAAGCTACAGCGCCGCGGAAAAGCGCATTTGATAGCCCTATTAACGCTCTTTCTGAGTAATTCTCTCAGAGTTGACCAACCGTCAACTGTTTTGCCCGCAGGGGGCAAAAACTGCCAAAATACCGCCAATTTTTTTTCCGAAAACCGTTTTTCTGCAATATTTTTTTTGCTCAAACCTTGCACAAACTTTCTTTTGCCAGCATCGTGTTCCTCTCGTCAAGACGCGTCGAATGAACTATCACTTGACCTTGAAAGGTCAATTTGAAAACTTGACCTCAGGTCAAGGTCATGACCTGACCGGTAAGGGTTGCATATCAGTCGATCCGTATCGTCGAGCCAAGCACAACTCCGGACACCGGAACCCGTTCCAGGCGACGGGTTCCGGTGTCGCCTGGAACTCGACGACACCGGTAATGAGATCGCGGGCTGGCTAGAACGCTCACGTTGGACAGCCCTCAACAACCAACGGAAAGCCCACCCGCGCCGGCTACGGGACCGGGCCGCGTATTCGCCAATAGTATTACACGAATCGGCCCACCAACTAGCGACATCTCTAGTGCGACGTCATAGCCATCCGACGTGACAATCATGCATTGAGGCCAGATTTGAGTTGAGACTTTTTTAATTGTATATGGCAATTCAATTAACAGTGTGTCGTCGTAGCCGAGTGGTTAGAGTCTCGGTGTGATGAATGAAAGGTCGATGGATCGATTCCTGCTTTAGCGGTTCTTTTCTAAGAAGTCTGTTTTAGACACGCATTTTTGGCCCTTAGGCCCTAAGTTCGCACGCCAATATCGTACGCCCAACAAATCTATGACAAGTATTCATCTGATTAAGGAATAAGTTGCAAAAGAACTGCAGTTGCAGTCTGTACCTGAAATACGAATTGTGTTACGGTACTGTCGATACTGTCGATCCCCTGGTGGCAGAAATGTTAAAGTTATAGTTAAGGCATAGCTCCTATAGATGACGCCTTTGACGGCTGAAACTGATAATCTCGTCCCCTGATTACGCTAACAGCTATGGGCCCAACTTTTTTGTGCATGGTGATTCTTACATGAAAACTATCTAATTGCATGCTAACCAGCGTGCGATTTTTAGCTTAGTTTTCGCTACTTTTAGGTACTTTACCTTGCCAAGTGCCACCTACTTTCAAAAGGTCAGCGCCACCCCTGTCATATCCAGCAGGAGCTGCGTGCTCGGTGCTATCACCCATTGGCAGTGAGAAATATTGATCAATGGTCATCGCCCAGCACCATTTGTCTTTCCATTGGCTACGTTCGCATAGTATGCACTATGCATTAGTGATGTCAATTGTCAATCACAGAAAAGCAGAACACCGATACCAAACCAAATTCAAACAAAAATCATTGGAAAATACCGAAACCGAACCAATCGGTTGGACTGCAAATATTTCTGTTAGGTATGCAACATATTCATTTGAAGAATGCTTACCTCTGATTTCTTAGGTGCACGCCGTTGCAAATGTATCCAAAAAAACGCACAATGACAGATAACACGAAAATTGATGTCGCCGAGTGGATTCGAACCATCTACCTTCTTATCACCATTTCGGTACTCTAACCACTGCGCCACGGCGGCAACCCATACGTCGGAGTTTAAATGTCGTTAATCTAAAACTTAGCTTCAATAGACTCCACCAAGGGCGATGACCGAACGTATGACGCCACGCTGACGTCACTCAAGAGGCACGCTATTGGTCGGGCCGATTCGTGTAATACTATTGGCGAATACGCGACCGGGCCACTGACTGCCCAGACGTTGCGCTCTGCCACCAGAACCTGGCGCTGCGGAGCACCTGAACCATCGGCACAGATCTCGGCAGTGATCACCTCCCCCAGGTGGTCCAGACCGCGACGAGCGGCGCCCGCCCTCGCCGCATCAGAAAGACCAGATGGTCCTGGCAGAAGGCGGACTGGATACAGTTCACCAGCGGCTGCGAGGCGGCCTTCTCTGCCCTGCCTCCTGATCTACCTACACCAGGGCCTCGTCTAAGGAATTTTCACTGGGGGGGGGGGGGGGGGGGCAGAGACTTAAGGAGCCAAACCTAGGGTACCCCAAATCCTGTTTTCTCGCCGGATTTAGGCCACTTATTTTTTCATCACAGCCCTGACACCATGAATATTTTTTAACAAAAAAAAAGAAGAAAATAGTAGGCAATCCGACCCATACTTTTATATGTAGGTATTAGTTTGCAGCCTCCTCACATTGCCCCATCAGACAGTAATAATCACACTTATCGGTGTTGAGCGTTTGTTTGAGTGGTGTTGAGCGTTTGTTTGAGTGGCAGTGTCTTGTCTAAGGAATTTATATGCCGAGCCTTATGTCGAGGGCCCACACGCATATATTTATTTTGCCAACCACATCGGTTTCTGATGGGCCCCGCCGACTTCTGAGCGCTCGATGCCGAGCTCTGAGGGCTTATACCAGCTTCTGGACCCACGTCTTCCTCTATGGTAGCCCACACTGGTTTTATATGATTCATACCAGGGTCAAGCTGAGTGGAGACCGTATTTTTCCCACGTAGGGCTCCCTCAGACCAGTGTAATGCCGGTGTATCAACTTTATCGACTTGGAGACTGATGGCTTCTCAGGTGGATTCTCCGTCATCGCCGTGGATCTCCGACACAGCCTTAAGGTCGTCAGAGGCTATAAACTAAACAAAAATGAAGATTTTCCCGTGTAGTAGTGCAATTTGAGGCGAGGCCCGTCGGGACCCTAAGTGGCTGGTATTTGCCCTCCGGGACTCCATGCCGACTTCTTTAGATAATCCAGCTGTCAGTTCCCGTCCCCACAGACAGACCACCAATCTGCGCCTACGTACGACCACCACGGGATCCTGCTTCATTACGATTAGGAGCTACTCTAGCCGCACACCGGTGACCGTCCGGCGTCCAGCCAGAAGTTGGACGCCGCATAGTGAGGACGACGATAGGCAAAAACAAGAGATTGACGCCCCGAGGACAGAAACAACAGATTGATACTTAAAGGAGAATTTGTCGGTAGAGCGTTGGACTCCGCGTGGTGAGGGCACGCGTCCCGGTTATAACAGTCCGGGTTCGAAGCGCGACAAAGTCGCTCGATGTTTCATAATATGAGCCTCCTGGCGAGTATGGTTGCGGTTGGTGGCAGGCCGTAACCAGTCGAAGTCAGTGAGGGGACCGGCCGTGCGCGGCTATGTGCATACGTAAAACTTTGGGCTCTAAATTCTGCCATAGGTCAGGAATTGCGCGATCGGAGGGTAGAGGGCAGGGCCAACGCAACAAGCTCTGTTTGTGAATCCTTCCATTCAAAAGGTTCGGACTAAATTTATAAAAAAGAATATCCGAGACACGGAGTTAGGCGCCTGAAAAGACGAAATGTAACGTACTGCTGAGCGAAAAAAATGGTGAAGGTCAGGTAAACAAAATAAACACTTGATAACAGGCCTATAAGTAATCGGGTAGGCATCAATGTGCTCACATTGCATCCATGTTTCGTTTACACATTTGCTTTTATGTGCTCTGACGCCTCGAACTAAAAATTCGTTTGGCTTTTGGCTTTTGCCGGCCCCCCCCCCCAGTAGTGACTTTTTGCCCTGACTGGGGGGGGGGCAGGCCGATGACTGCGGGGGTTCGGCCCCCCAGTTAACATGTTAGACGAGGCCTTGACCTACACTCACCCTCGCCGAGAGAGTGGCAACCATAATCACGTCAGAGAGCACGCGTGCCATCTCCCACGGCGCTCGCGCCGACCCGAAGCCCTGGGCCTGCGATCCTGAACTGATCGATGCGATCTCGGCAAGGCGAGCAGCACGGGCAGAGATGACTTCTAATCCCTGTCCTGCAACAAGAGAGAGGTGGAAAGATGCAAAGAGGGCGGTCGCCGCAGCAGAAGAGTCGGCCAGAACCAGGACCTTAAGAGACTTCGTCTCTAAGGAGCTAAACCGGCCCACGAGCATCGGGCGCGTCTCCAAGATTCTTGGGAGGATGGAGGGCGCCGTACCTGAGTCCCGACCGGGACAGGCAATCAGCGGGACTGTGGCAAATTAGCCATAGAGGACCGTGCGAAAGCCAACGCCTTCGTCGGGACATGCGCAGCGGTGAGCAAGCAGGTCCGCTGCCCGAAACGAGACCGGCCCGTGAAGAAGGAACTGGCATCCCTGAGGGACAACGGCTGCACATGCCTCGACACTAAAGAAGAGGCGTGCGCCCCCCTTCAGCATGAAGGAAATGGGAGCCCAGATCCGGGTGCTGAAGTCCAGGAAAGCGCCCGGCCCGGAC